CAGCATAAACGGCACGCACCTTTGTTACTTTTTTGCCGTACGTGGAGGTTCGTCGTGTACTGGGTTAGCATGATGGCCCTCGCACTAACTTCAGCAGTCATCGACACCATCGCGTTTGCAGTCATCGACACCATCGCGATTGAGAAGCAACTGTACACCGCTACAAGCATAACATCATTAGAACCGTAGCACATGATACAGCACAAACAATGTTGCTCACACATTTGCCTCATACGGCAGCTGTGGTTGGTACCCAGGTGGTAGGTACACTTGTATGTCCAGCTTCTTGAGCTCGCCTGGCGAATGCGCTTGGAATTCAGGGACCTGCGGGGAAGCGGTGAGATTCTCGAATGAGCGAGAAATGTGTGGTGGGCTGAAGCACCTGCAGTCTCAAACACTGATCTGTGCTTCCCATCACTACCTATATCAAACGCACGACTCGTGCACGGCATCGCGGGAAAGATGAGGTATAAGCCTAGTCCTTATTGACTGCAAGTTTGTATGTGGGCATACAAAAACAAAGTATAATTCACTTAACATGTCTGGTACACGTTAAGGTTTTTGCCTAATCGTGTCTCATACAGGCGCTCGCGTTGCGGGGGTTAAGACGGTTCCAGGATCGGCGCCTTACGTGATCCTATTGGAACTTGACGCCGATATGTACGCTGGAAAGACAATCCCAATATCGATAGCCTATTAAAGATGCGACTAAAAATGAGATGAAAAAGTGGGAGCAACTCCTTCTCTGATTAGGCGATACCAGTTTTCATAATCTCGAAGAAAGATGCGGTTTTCAGACGAAAATGTGAATTTTGCCGGCTCTGCAAGTGGCTTCGGCCAGGTTAATCCGTACGGCCACTGCCCGCGATGACCCATTCGGTGTATCGCTACGTTTGTAGATCTTTTTTCATATACGAAACGGATCTTTTCTTTGAACAGTCAGTAGCTATCTGAGTTATCATACCCAACGCCTTAATAAATAGGTGGGGAAAATTGGTGGCAAGTATCAGGATGATCGCCTTTTAATCAACATCGCGCCGTCATGTTGCTATCATATTAGAGAGACGCCGGATCGAGTTTTGAAAGTGCAATGTCAGTTCCACATTTCATGCCTGCTTCAAGTACAGCTGCTGCCGGGGAATCTTTATCCACCCCAATTCAAGGCGCAGCCCTTTAAGCCGATCATCATATTCTGCTTCCCCATCAAGCGGTTTCTTAAAATCACTGGGTAGAGCAACGTTTCAGGTACACGGATTAGATTCGTGCAGCTACAGTTGTTTGAGAAAGTCAACAGCTTCACTTTTGCTGTAGTTACGTGTGTTGTTTGTCCAGTCGAGTTGTCAGCCTTACAAATGTGAGCAGTCTCCAGCGCCAGCACTACTTTATCGAAAAGTGCATCGAACTTCCGCAGGTCCATCGCAGAGTTTGTGCAGCCGCGCCGAGAGCCATCAAAAGCACACTGCCAAACTACACAACAATCCACATGCGAGGGTATTCGTTAAAAGTCATCGTCCCTAGTCCAATCAACGGAGCCATATCGTTATATGCTGACGGCTGGTAGAAACCAGCCGTTGCTTCAGAGTGACCATCATCGCAGTCACCTCAGCGATCTGCCCCTGCATGGATATTGTCGAGTTGTTGCTGGTAGTGTATCCATTTCGCGGACCGCTGTCGCCATAGTGTCTTGACGACTAGTGCTGGTACGAGTTGATGCTTCAGTTGTGCGGTAGGTAAGGTGTCGTAGTAAGGTATCGCTAGCACCCATTGTCACCGTGGTTGTTTTTACAGATGCCGCAGTATATACCGGATCGTCTTTGGTGGTTGCTGTTACCGCCCTGGTGGTTGCTTCTCCATTCTTCGAATCGCTGCCGGGGCTGTTCTTCTCTCAATTTTGGGCAGTTTGCCCGTAACAACTAGCTCTTGCGTTCAATCAGTTCGAACTTTGCTTCGTGCGCAGGAAGGTCACAGTCAAGGGAGATGCGATGCCGCTTCGTCCACCAGTCAGGGTCCCGCCTGCCACGTCAAGTGGACGATGCTAACGTCACGCATCGCTTTATTCTGAGCGTTTTCCAAAAATTTGCCACTTTCATTTAGACACACAATTCGCGGATGACTCTCGCACACTGGGGGCTTTTTTTCTTTCGGAGTTTGATCAGCTCGCCTATTATAATGAGGAAATCTCGAGTGTCCAGAGACAGAGCCTTGTCGTGACGGGTGATTTGCGCTTGGCCTCAGCTTTTCCCGGAAACAATGGTGTTAAAGAATCACAGGTCTTCGTCAAGCAGCTAAACATGGGCGTCTTCGGTCAAGACCCATGATCAAGCATTTTTTATTATTATCCCATGGACATGTAGATCTCCTGCAGGTACAAAAACCCAGCGCAGCCATGCTTTTCCGTTTCCTCTGCGGAGTGCTGGAATCTTCTTGTTATATTCGTTCGGTTTCCTTGATCTTCGTGAAAATAAAAGCTCACCGGCCATGTTGGGCTGTAGTTGACCTGGGCAAGTACCGCTGCTTTTACGGAGCTATTCATGCTATTTCTTTAATCCTGCAAAATGCACCGTGTAAGGTATCGGACATTTGTAATGGTAGTGATAGATTCATAACTGGGTTAGCTAGCCTACCATTGGTAGGTCTGTACTTGAATTTTAGCCTATGTCTTGCGTGTGTCGGCACTTGTTGTGTAGGAACAGCACGATCTGTTGAATTAGCTTGTTATGGCTGAAGTAGTTGCTCACAGTAGCTACGATATATGGTATGTACGTGGTGAGCAGCGCGGGTGTACCATTAAAGCGTCCGTACGCCTCACTCGTAGTGGGCGAATAGCGTCAGCACCTTGCGTGTGGTTAGGCGTGCATTCAGGTGGTGTTATTGCAGGTAATGTGGCACCACATACAGGTCGGCCCAGTCGAGTGTCTTAGCACTGTATGTACAAGTAGCTCATGTGCGTGCGTGTAGTCAGCTTTACATTATCTGGCTATCCGACCAGCATCCAAGGACGAACATCCGAAGGCCGTATGTAGTTTCAGTCTTGCCATGGTACCCTCATACCGACGTTTTTGGGTGGAACCATCACGCCTCTCAGGACAGCATACCCCTTGCTCTGTTTTCATAGTTAGATAGTCAAACTTAGTCGTCTCGACATCTCGTCATGAACGCTGCATTTGGCACATGGATGTTATGATTTCTTTTATTGAGTTTTCTTTAATGTTATTTTATATTAAAAGGAGAAGTTGCACCACAGCCATTTTTTTCCTTTTATTGCGGGGTTACAAATATTACTCGTTTTAAGTCTTTCTTTCACGCTGGAACTCAGTAAAACTAGCTTCACCATCGCGTGATAAGACTGCCTCGAAAAGCTAACGCAAAAGTCCTTACGTCTAACAGGTCATTCGAGTACCCTTCGTCCTGTATCGCCATCTTCTGGTAGATGTAGACTGTTCATGGCCCATAATAAAAGAAAATAAAGAAGTTTTCTTCTTTTAATGCCCACGAAAAAGGGAGATTTTCACTTCAAAAAAATCGTTCTTTTAAACATCCATTCGAGCCTAAGTCTTGCCAAATTTTGGCAAGAAAAGGATTGTTTCGGGATGGCGTGCCTGCGGAACGCCCAAGCGCGCTGGAGAAGATGTGGAGTATGGATGCCTGATCGCAGTTGCCATCAACAGGCCAGAGGTACGCAGCACTCAGTCCGGCCACCGACCTAGTCTAACAAAGGGAGACCGTGAAGTGCCCCGGTGAATGTATCCCGGAAAGGCGTCCCCAAATATTTCGAACCCTCCGCAGTCCAAGCCTCAAGCTACCCAAGCACATTAAGCCGCTGCTACGAAGTCACTAAAGTTAGCGACCAAGGTGCCAGTTCCGAGTGGGACTTGGTGTCACTATGGAGAGCGAGCCAGTCTGGTTCCGATATGGCTGCAGTGCAGCCGATCGCAAGGTCAGGCACCCGAGTCCCTACGACATCAAGAGATGTGTGTGCGCCGCGGCGCGACGCCCGGGTATACTGAGACCAACAGAACCCGAACACGCGTATACAGATAATAGCAGAGGCGACCGCGTAAAGATCCAGCGGCCCTCAAAGTAACAAGATCATACGAAGAAGAAGAGTGACATACAAAGAGAAAAAGAGATACCCAAAGAGATTACACTGTTTTTACCTTATGCGTTCTGCCAAGAGCCTCACTGCGGAGCTGACGCTTAGCAGAGTTATAAATTCCTACGGACTGTAAGGCCCATTCCTAACCGGACCAAGTGCCTGCCACGCGAGCCATAGGTGTAGGCTCTTCACGCGGATGAATCTTCGGTCTGGAACGGTTTGTGCCACGCCATACTGCCGTATATTTCAACACGAAGTAAGTTTTGTCAGACCGTCGGCTTGGTCCGTGTTGGCACGTTTCGCAGGTAGTTACTGGATGTGGGTCAACAGGGATGAATCCGATGCTGGCGTTCTCACTTTTGAATTACTGCGGTTTTGCGAAGCATGGACGCTGAGGACGAAGCCGCTCTTACTGACAAGGTCGCTGATGAGAGGGCTGCTGGTGCGGCTTCGACACCGCCACCTCTTGTCCGGTGGACGATCAAGAAACCTGGGACTACGCCACCTCCAACTTCAGATGACTACACTACCTGGACCGTCGAGCAGCTTCGGAAAGAATGCACGAGTCGTAACTCCGCGTCAGTTGCAAGACTTCAGCTGAAGAACGCATCAAACGTCTCGTGGCCTTCGAAGAGTACCAGCTCAGCCTAATCGCGGAGGTGGTGGACTCGGTGGCGTCGCCCGAGAGCAGCGCTGGCCCTCTCTCCAAGCACTGTTGTGTCCGGATGCTGATCATGCTGTTTTCCGACGAGTATTTGTTCCGACGAGTACGTCACCGAATTCGCGAAACGGGGGGCAGAGTTACTCCACAGCAGCTCGACGCAGTGGAGACGAACGCAAAATCGGCTTTCTGGCGAAAGTTTACGTCGGACTTCAATACAAACCGCACGGACTTCAACAGCCTTCACAGTGCTGACGGACGCCTCGCCGGATTGAATCCCTCGAAGATCGTGAAGCACACCCGGCTGCAGTTATTCGACGCTTGGAAGGCAATCCCCCTGAAAGACCATCGTGCCCTCGTTAACCTCATCAAGTTTGGAGAGCACGATTCCGACTTTTTTGGGGAATTTCTCGGGTTCACTTGGCGTGTTCTACCTACGCGAGTGTCTGGAACTCAAACACGACGTGATTAGCTTCGTGGAGGGTGGAATGCTGCCGGAAGACCAATTTGATTCGCTCAAGCGCGCTAGCACCGTGGAGCTGCAGTCACCTCACTCCAAGAAGATGACACAAGAAATGCTGTCGACTGTGAAAGTCATCGCGGACAAACTGCTAGACGACACGGCTTCGTCTGTCGACGATTGTTATTCTGTTCTCGTAGATTAGATCACCACTTGTATGACTAGAGCCTTCCTTGAGCTATGCTACATACAATACTAGCAGTATCACATACGAAGTTCTCGGTCTAATGCAGCTCTACGTACGTTGTCATCGGGCCGGACAGTGTTACCTAATCTAGCTGCAATCCCGTTCCGCAGTAGCTCTGACTCCGTACGGCGCTTAGCGTCGAGCTGCGTTGAATCATAACGGCAAAAAGCCGCCACATCCCGTGCAGATACTGTCATGTCTCCGCAAACGGCTGGAATAGCATCTTCGACACCGGTACCCGAACTACTTGCTCCCACCTTAGCGACAGCAGCAGACAAATCTTCGTCCAGTTCGATGTCTGCACCCCCATCTTGACCCAGACGCTCGTTGATACACCAATGGTGGAGTATGCACGCAACATGAATCACCTTGCCCATATGCTTCATACCAACACGCAGTGGACTCTTGAAAATGCGCCACTTATTCACCAACAATCCGAACGCCATTTCCACACGAATGCGAAGCTGGCTCAGGAGAAAATTTGAGCTGTCTCTGCTGGCGATAGTCGTATGGGGTCTTCTCAATGGTGTAAGCAGCGTGTTGCTGTTCGAATAGGCATTATCCCCGACGAGATGCAAACCCTTCGGAAACGTATCAGCAAGTTGGGACAACTTCCAGTGAAGATACGCAATATAATCCCCCATACCCCCAGGAGAAGAGCTGGAAATTGCGGTAAATCTGCAGTGATAATCAACACGCGGTCGCACATTGATGCCGTATCGCGGGTAGTGACCGGAAAAGAACGACGCCACTATTCGTACTTCACGCCGGCGAGGAACTTGAATAGGGCATAGCCAGCCGTCTATGGCACCCACACAGCCACGCATGATGCCGTCATTGCTAAGTCTAGCAAACTCCCGTGCTGAATGGCGCTGTTCCTGCTCCGAAATCGGAAAGCGGAGCTACAACTCTTCATGGTCTTGAATAGCGTCCATAACAGCGTGAACATCGGCATAGACCGCAGATGTGCTAACGCCAGAGAGCATTCGAACCGGGTGGTACGAATAGCCCACCAACCACAAGCACATCTGCACCTTGTTCACGGGCAATATTGGGTCAACACCAGTACGCCGCCGGGATTGTATCGCGTCCACTTGCAGGCTCGGCGCTAGCAAGCACACCAGCCGATCAAAGCTCGGGAAAGACATCCTGTAGTATTGTCGAAATTGGCCTTCGTTCAAGAGTAGCTGCGAGTGATACATCCAGTCTAGCCTTCTTCTCCCCAAGCACGACCCACGCTCATCGAACCAGATGTAGTAGGTCACTACATGCAACACAGAAGCGCCAAAGCTTCTTCGGTCCTGTTCATCTTGGCGGGAAAAGTGTCAATGACGCGTGCGAAATATATCGACACGCGTGGTAAAATACACGTCCTGGTACATGGCACTTGCTTTTGCCATGGGATTTGCGAGTGCCACCGATGGCAGTAAATGGTCTACCCCTACGGTGAAAGTAACCAATTATAAACGAGCCTGGCACAAATGGCAGGCACATTGTCCGGTTAGGAATGGGCCTAAGACTGGTATCGAGGGCTCAAGTACCAAATATGTTGATCAAAGCCGAGTTAAACAAGATTTAATGCACAGTGAACTGACTCGGCCGGGGCTGTGCGTACAAGGACGTGTTAGGGAACGCGAACGGGTACGCGGCGCTAGCGTTTGGGGTAAGCAAAACAAAAGGCGTTCAGGGACACCCAGAAGCTGGTGAAGCACGGTATCATATCGGCATTGTCCATGGACCTTGAAGAATAATGAATTAAGACTAAGACTATGATTGCTCAAATGGGGAGGTATCTGGTAGATATGTATGATGGCAAGACAACCGCAGCGACCCGCACTAATCAAGAAAAAAATCTCTTCAACAAACTCCAAAATGTGAAGCGTAAGTCGAACTGGTACACGTAAGCACAATGTTCCCGCTCGGCGTCCAGGTTACTGTTACCACGCTGGCCTGAGAGGCCAGATTTTCATCAACATGATGATGCGGGCATTTGACTATCGTCGTGGGTTGGTTGGAATTGGTGCGAGATAGCACAACACTCCCGACAAGCTGACGGATCAAAAGCTTCGAATGGGCAAGTACAACTGTGTTGTCGCTTGAACAAGAACGGTCAGCGCAAGGATCGTGGTGATCAACACCTACGCCAGATGCAGTGAGCATGCTCCAATCGCCTGTAGTGCCGAGCATATGGCAACCGAGCGATCTACCGCTACCGCAGCAGCGAAGAAGCCCGACACGCAGTAAGGGCACTGCTTTAACGGCCACAAGCTAGAACAATTGAAGAAATACTACTTGAAGAAGATCCCCAGTCCTCTCCCACATTTTAAAAACGCAAGGGACCTACACGCGATGGGCTCGACGTTCAGTGGACGAGAACCATACACTACATCAACCGTGCTACGACGACCACAGTATAGGCTTAGAAATTAGTGTCCGTAGCACAACTCGCGGAAAGCTGCTGTGAGCGATCAAATAAACGCTATTCCGTGCATCTACCATAATACTGGGAGGACAGCTTTTGCTGACTGAACAGCCTAACCAATTTTATTTCAGCGGCTGGAAGCCCCCCCCCCCCAACTTCAATTGGTAAATTTCGGCTGAGTCCATACTTCACAGATTATGGCAATTGTAACATCTCGAAGTTTGTATATATTGTGGCTGGTTCTATTTCCAGAATCTTGACCGTGTCCATGGTGTACATCACACACAGTAGTGAACAGTTTTTGAATCTAGGAAATTTACTCGTAAAATCAGAAAAAAATAGCAGGGACCAACTGTGAATTTTATCGTTAGCAGACGTCTGAACTTATGCGTCTCCGTCAGCGTCGGCTTGACGCGCGATACAGCTCGTCGAAGCCACCCCTGTTTTAGGTAGCGGCATAACGAAGCAGGAAGAATCCCGCAAGCGGTGGCCAGCGACCGTAGGGTTTGCCGCTCAACTAGCGGAACACCAGCCAGCAGAGCAGCAACCTCTTCCTTCGTCCGGTTGGTCGGCTTCGGGGGCTTGGGGCTGCGCGGTGGATCCAGCAGCGCCGCCACGTTGGTGCGGTCCTTCCACAACGACCATGCCGTCCGAGGCTTGATAGGGTACCTATCAACAGCGACCGCAACCGCTGCTGAAGCACCAGTGCCACGGGCGGCCAGGTCGACCTGAAAGAGCGCCACGGCGACTTTTGTCTGGGGTGGGAGGTCGCTTGCTCCGGGCGGGCGACCCATGTAGACTGGAGGCTTCTGCGGTCGGAGTCGAAAGCTTGAATGGTGCACAGCAATTTAGAGATCGATGAGCTCCGATTAAGCAGAGATTATTTTGGCTAATCAAAATGTAAGTGTGGACCACACTAAATATTTTCTGGCGATCTACTGCATTTTCATGTGGAACTGAGAAGTAAACGTTCTAGACACTATGTTGCAGGGAGTTTGTTTTTCTGCGACAATGTCGCCAACGTTTACATGGCCATATACTATCTATCAGTCGTGAAGGCGGATTTCGTGCACGGATTTAACAATAAAATTCGCAGCGACATCGCTCGGCCACAATAGCGTGCAGGCTGTAGTCAAACATGGTGACCCGATCGTTCGCGATGCGTTTTACGTACCCAACAGCAAGAACCTGATATTGCACTTGCATCGTCACGAGCGAAATATCGTCCGGAACGCTACCCGGTGCCGATATGCTAAGGATGTCCTGCGCATGACATTGAGCATACTTTTCGCAATTGCGGTTTCAAGAACGAGAAGGTATTGTGAAAAGCACTTGGAATGTATATTCGGATTGTAAATCGGCTGTTTTAGTGCCTTATTTTGAGCCGGGGACCCTTATTTATATCATCATATCCGTTATTTATAGTTGAGCACTCGTATTTATAGTCGGAGCATCGCGTCAAAGCTATTTTAGAGTCGGAATCGATTTGTTCTCTAAACAGGCTAAAATGTGAGCTCCATCCTCGGCATTCCGAGGAAGGCCGCACAAAAACTTTACCAAGAGAGCAGCAATGCAAGCGCTGGCCAAGATCTCAGTCAATATCGGAGGAATCAACAGGACGAGCACAACTAGCGTTCGTGTTGAGGATGCGGAGTTTCGTTTCGATCCAGAGCGCAGCTTTGATGATCTCTTTGCGAGAGCTGAAGAGCGCATCGAAGCCGCGCTAACTGCGCCTTGATACTAACCTCTACGCTAAGCCAAGTGAAGGTGCCACTCAGCAGGGCTGGGTGGCTTTATCTGAGCCAAATTGGACTGCCGTTGTGGCCACGGTCCGAACCAATTTCCAGCGCCGGCGCAAGGACACAGGGCCGCTCTGCATGGAGCTCTTCGCATTTACTGTCAGGGAAATCAGGCAGGCGACGCGCACCACGAAACCGTAATCAACGGGCAGCGGAATACATTGACGAGCTCCTTGCAGAGCGGCCGGATCTTCAAGTTGGTGTCATCGCTCGTACGCACTGGGAGATGCGCGCCAGCCAGTAGGCACCGCCGTTTCCGTTCCCGAGACGGCCACGTTTCGACAGATGCAACACCGGGACGCCGTTGGTGCTGCGAACCTTCCCGCGGATCGTGACGAGGCGGTTTTCGAAACCATTTCTGGCCGCATCAACGGCTCGACCGAGCTGCAGCTCACGGTTAACGTGAAGGGCCTACGCGCCATAAACGGCCTGCCAAGCCACAACACAATGGGTAGCAGGATGTTCTCAGCGTTTGTCCCGCCACCAGAACCCGAGGAAGACAGACCACCAAGACGACTAGGAATCGAGAGATTACAGTCATTTTTTATTGCATTTGTTCGGTTCTACAGCTTTCGTTCCCTTGCTTCGCTCGGGGATTGCGATTCATCGGCTGTACAATTTCAAGGCCCCACAGCAAACGAAACTCAAGAACTTGACAACTAGACTACGTGGTGGTCTTGAACCCCCTCAGATCCGTGGTGTACTTTTTATTAGGAAAGTTGCAACTTGGAGTCCTGAGCATATGACCGTTCAGTCATTTAAGCGCACAGATTTACTTAGGTCTTGAATGTACGTTGTTCGTTATGTGCGACCTGACGTAGCACAAACTGATCCGAATGCTAAGTGTATTTCAACCATGATATACTAAAAATATTACAGGTCATCCCAGAGAGTTTAAACACGGCAAATACGGTGGCGATATGATAGAATTTAAGACGCAACATTGTCATTCTATTAAGACTTATATTTTTGCTTGAGATTAATGGTCAAAGACTAGAACAGTATATTTGGTCTAAGTACTAGAAAGACCACCTGTGGGAGCGATTCTTTATGGGTCAACCGCTGCGCAGTCAAATTTGGGTCAACGTTTTTGGGTCAAAATTGTTCCATTTTTGACCATGTTTGACCCATAGCCGTTGGACATGTTTATATAGTACTTATACCTCCCATAATCTATATATATTAAAATAATAATAATAATTGTTTATACAGATATGTGTATAAGTATCAACTGTTTTGCAGTAAAATTTTAGTATACCCATAGGGGTGCGCCTAGATAGACAGGTGTCTATCAGGTGGTGTGGGTTCAAATCCCACACCTGTAAAGGAGCTCGATTCTTGAGGTAAGTGTCGTGTGGAAATCCTCCGTCAGATCTGAGACATAACGAAGGATTTGGGTCGTCCGTCACACTCTCACTTAGTGAGAGTGAGTCTCCTATGGATCAGGCTGACTGGATTCTCTCGAGTAATAACCCACCGTGAGAATTTGGTCATTAAGTCGTTTGGTAGACGGTAAATGGGCTCATTCCCTGGCCACAAACGTTCTCGGTTGGCTAGAGCGATCTACTTTGTTAAAATTTGGGGCAATATTGTAGTATACTGAGACCAAGTCAAATTTTATAATAGTACAAAATGTAGTCCTAAATTTTTAGACAGGTGTATTATCTGAATTTAGAGGTTGCAGAATCTGTTGATTACACTAAATTCAAATATGCAGAATCTGTGGCTCCTAATATTCGGGTGACAGAGACCTAATTGAATCACAATCCGAGTCAGAGTCATCAGAGTCCGATTGGTTGACTTACAGTTCGGAGTCAGAGTCAACCTCCAATTCGGAGTCAGACTCGAAGCCTGGAGTGCGTTGGGGGGGCGGCATGATTGAGGACACGGGCTCTGCGGTTGGAGATGTCATCCAACAGGCGCACGTTCTCGCGACTTTGCTCCTCGATGACACTGATGAAGCGCGTGATGTCTGGGTGCCCACCATTGAACACCGATTTTAGTGTGCGGTTATAGCGTTCAAGCGGGTTGTTGGTCCGTTTTACGATGTCTTCGCTCACGCTGTTAATGTTCCACCACTCCGGCTTGAACTTGTTGATCCAGATTTTCTTGAAGAACTTCCAGAACTTCTTCCAGTTGGGCCTGGAGTAACCAATATCCCTGGTTTCACAGTCGCGCTTGATCATTGATCAGACATCATGGACGCCTCGAAGGGTAATATCCATACGTCGGATAATTGTCAGGCGGTCAATGCAGCCCTCCCGCATGGCCAAGTCCACTTCATCTTTCGTGATCTTCAACTTCAACATCTTTCGGTCGGTAACAGCAGGGGCCGGTCCAGTCGGGGTCGACGGAAACCAGATACACAAGCGGGCTCGTGCTCTCCATCCTCCACAGCGCCACGGCCACTCACGTAGAGTTTTTCCTTGCAATTTGTTCGGCGGTAGGCGCTGCATCGATAGTGCCTGGTGTCGGTTCGTGGGCGTACGAGTAGCCACCATAATGGATAGTCCCTGAACCAGAATTGGCGACGGCGAGGCCAGTAGAGTGGGCATCTTCAGTTGGCGGCGCGACTTCAAGTTGGGTAACATCACTCTCTTCGTGTTCCGAGCCCGAGGATTGGCTGAGCAGTAGGACCGTCTCGGTGTCGCTGAGCTCGGATCCATCGGACAGGAGCGAGTTCGACATCGATTCGTCGGAGATGTAGCCTGAGGCCATGGTGCGTGGGTGTCGTGGGAGCGGGAAGGGGGGGGGGGCTTGGTGCTTACAACTTGAAAGATTTCAAAATGACTGTTACGATCTGGTTGGAGCAACCACTACTATTGACGACATAGCACCCGCGATGAGACAACAAACGCTGCGGTTAATTGTGTCACTGACGAGATAGCGATGCTCGACACTACGGTCTTACAAACTAACAACCTAACAACAGTGTATCATGCACATGCCAAACGCCTAACACACACGCCACTAACTAACAAATACAATATGAAAACTTCAATCAAAACATAATTGATCAACAAATATGTAACAACGCCAGAGCTTCAACCACACACAAAATTTTCCAACAAATACACAACAACTTCAAACTTCAACCGCACACGACGACAACCGAATACAAATATCTAGCAAGTACACAGCACTTATGCAATTACACAACACTAAATTTTACACAACATCCTCAACAATATATAATATTTAAAAAAAATACTTTCTCAATCTCATGGGGGTGATAATTTTTGACCCAAAGTTGACCACAAAAGCGTGTTGACCTCCGTTGTTCCATTTTTGACCCAAAAACAGCGTTAAAAAGCGTTGACCCAAATTTGACCTGCGCAGCAGTTGACCCATAAAAAAAGGTTATCCACCTGTGCCCTCATCTAAGAAAGGAGGCGTGCCCCAAACATAACGTATGTAGCTTTGTATGGCCGCTCATATTATCCACAAAGCCAGGAAATCGAATTTTCTTGGTATTGACGTTTGTATGGCATACAACTCTGTATAATGTTTTTATTGGGCGCACGCGCCTATTGAAAGATAGGGAGTATTGGACATTTAGTATGTAAGAGATAGAACAGTGTGATGCAATCGTTTCTTGTGTAAAGAATACCAAATAGACTTGATTTATGTATTTTTCCGTGTACGTTTGTTTGGGTGCTACAAAAGAAAATATGCAAATGTTTACGCAAATGACAAAAGGGGGCACGATGTACCCATTGATAGTTATCACGTTTAAAGCACATACGGATGGGTACATGATGTGCCCCTTGGTCGCTATATGTTAAGTGTACTGTAAACCTTCATCGGTTCAACGTTGCGTCTTTGATAGATTATTTTTCGGGTCGAATACGGGTATGCCATTGACTTGGAGTCTTGTGATTGTGTTATAGCCTATGTGAAGAGTCGGATATGCAGGCCCGACAACCACCGATCTCCACTAACTTCTTGTCCAATAGTTTGTTCCACAGGCGCCCTGCGTGCTTCAGCCCATGCAGGGCTTTCTCCAGCTCCAGCACCAGCTCGTCGTCACACCTGACGCCCAGCTGCCTCACCACCTCTTCCGAAATCACCATACGTTGTGAGAGGTGGATTAAGATAGCCAGTTTCTCCTCTTTACATAGTCGCTAGGTACGGCGTCGTGCTTGGAGTTCCCAGGTATCAGTGTGATGTCTACGTACGGCGTTCTTGAATGGTCATGCTGCCTCGTCTGTCTGGCCCAATCAAAACTATTTTGTGTCTGAATATTGACGATGACGTGATTTTATTGGAGATACTGACTTTAATTATAACATTATCAAGCATTTTAAAGATTTTTCGACAACATATCCGAGCTGTCCTATACGTTTTCCGGGTTTGTTGACTGGTTGAGTGGTTAAAATACCGATATTGCGGAGTTGAAGTGGGCAGCTTATTTTGTAAGATTTTGCTGTAATCCGTGGTAGTCATCCGTCCCTCGCTTTTGGTCGTTTCCGACGCCAATATTTGCCTGACGAAACCAGTTGGCTGGTGTATTGGCCATGCCTATCGTCAGCTTAACGCGGAGGTGTTTCTACCGGCAGCCTAGATGTCTCGGATGGAAATTTAATTCGACGCCATGACGGGCAGTCAATGATTATCGTGCATGGACCTCCTGTGGGAGTACTACCAGGTTAAATGGCATGAATCCGACATTCACTCTCGTAAAAGAAAACCAATATATATGCCACTCCACTCCACTAAAAAACAAAACACGTACAAAACATAACACAACGGTGAACTTATAAGAGGTTTCCATCATACCTAAAACATTGCAGTACCATCCTAGATTGCTCCAGCATCGTTAGCCTAATAAACACTTTAATACCAACAGCAACAATTTTAAATACGGCGTAATTATTGAGAATTCCTCCATTAAAGGGGTTCTAGCAGGACGCATGTGGCAATGTACCTACGACAGAGTGGTAACGTTCAAGATTTTCTTGTTAGCACGCAGAAATGCGTGCGCTTCAAAGTTACACGAAGCAAGCTGCCGCACTGCGGGGTCGGCACCCACGTGCACTCCAAAAATAGGCGCTCGCACGTGTTGGACGTCGATAGCACTATTGCCTCCAGAGTGGCGTATGCTGTACGCTCTCCCTTGCGAGGCTTCGCCCAGCCACCCAACCGGATGGCACGTGGTTGCACCTCAGCTTGTGTGCACTCCAGCCGCTTCAGCGCCGCTGCCTCCGACGCAGATTGGCTTTCATCATCGGCTAATTTCACGAGACTGTTTTCAACTGCGGTGGAGTGCACAATATTAGACGTATTAGTCCATAATCGGGTAGGCATCCACAACAGAGTCAAAGTGAAGGTATACTCGCTCATGGTCATCGATTCGCACAGCCACCGCTTTCACACATTGTCGAACTTCCGCAGGTACTGCAGCACGTCCCCTAGCTGCTTGTGTTCGCTACTGTTTCGAAAATCGTATTCCACATCAGAATTTAGTCTTCCAGATCTATCGAACGGTCCTCTTCACGACGTCACGTTCCAAATAACGGGGTAGGAGGATGTTGGTATAACCCCTATATTCCCATTGTTTTTCATACTTATCACTGGCCTTTACCAAATGTCAATCAAATAACTTGGGGTACCCAAAACGGAATTAGGGTGTTCAATGGTGTCTGGAACTGTAAGAAAAAGCTTTCGCAATTCGATGTCAGATATTTGGCAGACAGTGGTTGGTTGGCGGAAAACGGCTTGGGAGGAGGCTGGAGGCCTTAGTACGGCGGGTTAGCTGGTATCGGGTTATTGTGCGCGGGCTGTGATAAAACCCGGTCGACGAAGATGATGCGGGGCTCATGGTCGGGATGATGATTTTGCCAGCTTCCGGGATGATCCACATTTCTCCTCTGATCCGGAACGAAGTAAATGTAGCGGATCTATGCGGTGAAGACGCGGATCAACGGCAGAGGCTTTTGTTAAATAAGAACGTAGTTTTCCACATTTGCCTAGTCTTATAACGATCTTGAAGGTCATGCCCAAGTCCGACAATTTCGTTTGGAATCCGTTCCGGCTTTTCCAAGTCGGCAGACTGCGCCTCTACCTCAAAACTCACTTTGAGACCCCGTGTCGTGCAAGCTGGAACCGATGCTTCTTTGCTCGAGTGGGGGCGTCCTTGCTCCGGCCACAAATACGGTCGCTATAACTTCCTTATAACAGACAAATTGGCCGGCGTGCATTACGTAGAACGCTGTTGTCTTCGTGGGCGAGACCGTAAAACACCCCCTCGATGAATGGGACATTCTAGTCACTGTGAGCACAGGTTCGTTGTATCGCGAGAAGATGGCGGCCTTTTTCTTCTTCGGCGTAGAACTTAATGATAATGCCGTGCATACGCTCATCTGATATACCTCGTTTTGGATCAATCGCGGGCAGGCGAACTTCAACTTTTGGGACATGTTGATCAACTTTAAGTTAAAAACTGCCATCTTAGTTTTGGAACACTAAGATACATAGTGGTATGAATTGAGGCGAAAACATAGTTGTAGTGCATTCTTATCGCTATTGTTAGATTGTTATTGTGGTATATAGTACCCGATGATTCGACGGTCGCGATCGCCGTTGTGGGGGGGGTCTGGGCAGACGGGGTGGGGACGTCGAATGGTGAAAGTGGATCTTGATACTCGTGCAGATGGCTGAGGCACTTGTGGTGGGCATCCTTTTGCTATAGCCCCTTGTCCTGCATAACAAACGGCGAACCAACATCTTCTGGCGGCGTGTCATGTTGCCATGAGTGGAAAACGCTTCTTGTGCTTGGGGCAAGTCTTGGAGCGGCGCTATTTTCCCAAAATGATGTTCAGTACAATATAAAGTTTGAAAAATGATTAATTTACAAAGTCAACCGAAGGATCAACTTCAAAATCGAAATAGCATACTTCGTCGCTTAAAATGTTGGCACAAAAGTTGGCCTATCCCGCGTTTGATCCCAAAATTAAACTTCGATACTTGTGCTCATCATACTGAGTGGTGATTACGCTTGTCCTTAATGTGTAGTTATCAGCACTTAAGGCATCCATTGCGGTGTCATACTGCGTGTCTTGATCGCCGCTGCTACCCACCGTGCCGTCATACCAAGTGCAATATTCATCTCCTCACAGTGCAAGACGTCTTGCAACACCCCTGGCATCTCCATCTTGGCTTTGTAGTCTTCTTCCTTTCGTCGCAGATAGGTCAATAGTTTGTTTAAGTTTGACGCGCCGAACGTGATGGTCTTGAAGTCGATGATAGCTAATAAAACAAAAAAGTGGAGCGAGCGTCAAAACCCGTAGCTTTCTCTAGTAGCGCTTGTGAATATGTGTTTTGAAATTTCAGTGCGTGTGAAATCTTTCGATAAAATATGTCACCACGCACTTGCGCTCATACCCTTCGCCTTGGCATAAATGCGCAAAATACCTGATGCCAGAATAAGACTACAATTGATACTTTAAACTGTAGTAGACATGATAACGAATCATTAAAGGCTGCACGATACGCGATAAGTGAACTTATACTAAAATGAATGAAGTGGCATGCCTTTAAACTTTCTCTCAGCTTCACTGAGTGCTGTGCACGACGGGCTAACAGCAGCATACGACCCGGGTTGTTCTGAAGTGACGAAGTTATCTTTTGGCATGCGTTTTCCTTGCGCTGAACGGTAGCTTAGATGGTTAAGTTGCCTCACAAAACCCCATCGTGTTATCTGTGTTATACTATCTGATAATGTCCATTGCAACTATTCAATGATGACCTTCCAGGAGGTAGGTAGCTAGTAGGCATAGTTCAGTCGATCCCGCGATTGATGATTCGGCAAGGATCATCCCGGTGCAGCGATCGCGCAGCGTGCACGCGCCACTGATGGCTCCGGCAAGGATTCGGACAAGGACTAAGCAGGGTGTAGCTCACTTGAATTCAATATACCTCGTTTGTTATGCGTGCTTTCAGATCTTCATCTGCCTAAGTTCAACAAGCGTTTCAGTTGAATACGCCGTCTTAGGCTGGTCATTGCGCCGTCTCTATCACCAAAAGACACGATAGTCTTCATATTATGTCCCTAAGAGGCACATTTCGACGTCAATACAAGATAAGAGCATCGGGGTAGAGCTAGGGATAGGGTATCGCCCCGACTTTGAAAAAATTCACGTTACTAAAAATGTTGAGCTCATTATACTAGCCCATCGCTGAGATACAATTTAACCGTGTTTTGGCGTACACATAACAGGTGAGGTGGATTGTAAATTCAGCTTTGGAACGACCGATCTAACTCCCGAGAAAGTACAGGAATAAAATTTGGCGGGTCTCGCCCAGATTTTATTGGATCCCAGACTGATCGATGGCCTTTTTCTAATGGATTTTTACGAATAGTGGCCGGTCTTGGATTTATTAGTAGCCTCCTAGTTGTGAACGGCTTAGACAGGGGATATACTATTCGTAAGAGGGCTGCTAGTTGTTAGCAATATCGACGCCACTCGGTTTTACCGGGTATCATGCATCTTCATCCCCGCTACAACTGAAACCCCCATCCGGCGAGTACGCCACAGTGTCAGAACAACATGAGCTCGTTTGAGGCTCATATAGGCCCAGGCTTTCATTGCTGCTCTAAGATCGGTATTTTATTTCTAGAAGACTCTTGAAAACTACTAGTGGGTGGTCTTATAATAGTAAAGGGTATTCTATCGTAAGAATCCGTTAGTGACTTTTCTAACCAGATTTGGGATTTGGACCGTCCAAAACGCGCCTCTAGGATAAGACATGTCTAGTTATCAAAGCCTAAAGCTTACTCGTGGAATCTCTATCTCTATCGCAGTCGCTGCTCAAGTCGCTCGTGATATTGCGGATATGCACTATGCTATATCGGCGGCTGAGGTTGGGCTTACCAACGCATGGTGCTTGAAAGGCTAGGATGAGCTTCCCCCAACTCAGCGAGTTTGCTACCTACTTTACGTCGGTGTGGATGAACTTGAATTTTCATCGCTGACAGGCCTTCCACACCCCGCGCGGTTTTGCTGCTTCAAACAACAGTTTAATCGCACTATCAAGCGAGATTACACACTGCGTGCTCGCCTAATAATGGGCACGCTCATTGACCAGCCACTATTCTGCGTGAAAACGGGGGGAGCTCGGGGCCGCCCAGTTGCCACTGAGATTCAACCGCGTCCGGATATGGTTCGACGCGTACGAAAGCTAAGCTTGGTCGGGAGAAAACGCCTATCAGACACTCTATCGAATTTATTATTGGCGCTGCGCAGCTGCCCGCGGTCTCAGCAAAGGTGCACGTAGTGTTAGACACGCTCGAGTGCGTCTACGACCCGCAGGATCGACGCACAAAGGAAGCGCTGTCAGTGATAGTATGCCTTTCTGCCCAAAGGCGAGGATAGAGGCGGCAGGCAAGCTGGCAACGGGTTGCCGATCCGTTGGCATGTTGGCGTCAGTATCCAGACGTGCTGCTACCGCGTGTTCCTTAACGTCGGCTGCTGTATCCATATCATGTACGGGCTGTTCATGCGGGAGCTTGGCCTCTTTGGTCGCGCACGCCTGGTCTACCGCGGCCGTAACCGAGCTCGCCGCAAGAGTAGCGAGCAACAAACTACTGGACAACCTGCAAACAATTGTAGCGCACTCTGGTTAGTGTAAGAGCAATAGCTTGTAAGAAGCTAGCCGACATAATTCATAGCATTACTTACACTGCATGTTTGTGCGGTCCCCACCCACCCACCCAATGAGAACAGAAATCTGGAACGTGGAAGTAGCACATGAAATTCACGAGGTCGTTGTCCACGCCGAGTACTCAGTCCACAGCGTTTCACTGAGCTTTTCCCGCGTCAGCTATGACATAGCTAACTGAGAGCTGCTTGTTCGTCACCAGTGTATACATTCGCCTGTACATAGCTAGCGCCTCCGCAAAATGATGCTCAGTTTTCTGGGAGAGAATGAAGAACGCCACTAGCTGAAAGGAGCTCATACAGTCGGAGATGGCCACAAACATGACCGGATACTCCACCTGGCTTAGCTTGTAGGTGGCATCCAGGTAGAGCACATAGGTTGCCGGATCGCGGTCTAGTCGGTATAGCAGCAGTTTTGTGCTTTGCAAACTATTTGAAATCTTGGCCTGTCATTCGTAGACGTATCGAGCACGACGTATCCATAAATCGTACTCGAATACGGATTGCTGCAAATCATGGATGGTTAATCAGCACTCAGTAGTGCACATACACCATATCATGCATGACTTAGCACATCCAATACGGATTAGCTTCCTTTTGGCACTTTTAAAAAGTGCCATTTCCGAGCCAAAACACGATTTGAGCTGCTCGCATTCAAAGCCACTATTAGGACTCCGCGAAGGCTGGGATAGGAGGATTTTGGTACATGTATAAACCCTTTTTTATAATTTAATATTTTTTATTACTGTTCTTATTAGCTACGGTCATCTCCTGCGCCTGCTTCGCGGCCGCAGATATTAACCGGCAATGCTTTACAAATGTTTAAATTCGAACCTTGGATGAGATCTGTTTGCAGCTTATAGAAAATGCAAATGCTTACCTCTAGTGCTATTGTACAGCCCACCTCACTGCGTCCATCCGTACCCAGCTGATGTATTCGCAGTTCGTAAGAACTGTCGTTACGACCTGTTTGATATCAGATACCGGTATCGTCAGAATCATTGACTTGACTTTTGTATTGAAATTTAATATATTGAGTTTTGTATGCATTCGAATGACTTACTGTTGTATTGAGTCGATTTATCTAAGCATTTGTATGCGGATTGACTAGTGTTGGACACATAACTCAGGGGGTCCCCCTGAGGGGACAAAAAGCAAAGGTATAGAGCAGAAAGCCTTTATATGGTAGTATAGGCCATGATGTTCCCGATCCGAGCGGGCCGGTTCGCTTAATGCCATTTTAAAATTTGCTGAACAGGAGAACGGACATGAACTGGATGCTCACATAAGGGCAAGAAGGAGCAGCAACCTGCACTTGAGTCTTCAGGTACTCCCATTATTAAAAGCGAAACTTGGCCTTAACTTTCACTGGTTGTACTGTAGAATGCGGCGCGTTGGACGTGCTGGTGCTCTAGTGGTGTTTTCATATGCAGGCAGTAGCTAGATAAGGCACAACTACGTGTGCAGCACGAATGTCTTCGGCCACAATTGCTGCGGTATCGACAACTCCACTAGTAGCGTCTGATTTTTATGCTTGTCAGGGCATGTTCTAGGCATTCGCTGCTGGAATAGATCAAGACTCTGTATCACGATCTCAAGGACGCCCCAAAAGACAAAGTCACGCTGGACGGGTCTACCAGCACGTGCATAAAGACGCCTGACAGCAAGATATTCTACTCGCTGCGAACTTCGATCCTGTGCAGGCACGTGACCGAACTCAAAGAACGCAAGACTACCTCGATATGTTCTAGTGTTAACGTAAGCTCTGAGAAGATATATTATTATTGCGACTGGTGCGCCGCAAGTGAGTCGCGCCCAAGTCGCTTGTGACTTTTTTCATTTGGAAAATAAAGAAATCTAGTTGCCCCACATGGTTGTTGGTGTGATGATCATTTAACTACATCTCGGTTACGACAATTGAATGCGCATTGAACAGCTCGATATAACGTCGAGTTCACTTGCGTCACCTCGTAAGCTTACAGCGAGGAAACCATGCTTACACAAACGTTCTAATCCAAAGTGTGCGGCCAGTGACTCCGATAAAGTCAGCATTACTACAATTCGGATCAAGACTGGTTGCGAAAGCTCTAATAGAAATTAATAGCGCAAAACGGATTTATGTCTACGCGCCAAAAAGCACTAACCGAGTGGTGGACAAGTGCTGCGTGGATTTCCGGTCGGGAAACATGTCTGCACCTGGTCGAGTTAAAGTTTCCGTCATGCATTGTTATCACTAGCATTTTTAGCAAGAGAAGGACCGACGAAACATCCAGGTGCAATATGTATTTGGGTGTGCTTAGCAACAAGTAGAACTTAAAAGCTCATCCGAGGGGAACTTGCAACGGGGGTCTTTTTTTTAGATTCGCGTCTTGATGATCAAGTTGATCGAATTTCACTCGAACAGGATTTTAGAATACGCTAACATCTTTACAGTCTTCTACGTAGCTTTGTGAGGAGAGCGTGCTAACGACAATTTTCAGTTTGAAGAAGTATTAATGCAATTAGCCTTACCTTAGGTACTTAGGTACTTCGGTGTAAGGATGAGTACATATAGTCGCTTTACTGAGGCGAGCACTAAAAAAACGCCACAACTAGGGTAGACGCAACTAATACACCACAATTAACCTTTCTTACGAACTGCGACCCTCCCCCCCCCCCGGGACCCACGGGCTTGACCCGGGGCCCGGGTAATCAGTGTACTGAATCATACCAGTGTTGTCGGTAGCACACCGGTTCGATCTGCCCACGCATATAAACCTTTTGGAGGGCCCGGAGCCGTACCGATTTCATGAAAATATACCGGTTAGATGTCAAGACGGGTCATCTTTTGACTTGACGTACCACGGATATAATCCTATTAGGGGGAGTCACAGTTGAGATGACGAGTAATCCTTGTTACAGATTAATGACTTCTCGATAAGCATCCAAAGTTCTGACTATGGAGCTAAGAAAGACGTAAGGTATGGGTGACGTCCAAGCTTAAGGTGCCGGAAGCGCTGGGTGGCGCTTGAAGAGCTCCCTCAGCGTTTGTGAAGAAAGCGGGCCTTCATATAGCAAACAACCGAGGATGGGCCGTGACAAAACGGTGCAGGCTTGACGAAGCTGGGAACCCGTGCAACACTCTTGGAGCCGCTGGCAGGTAGCATCTTCGGAAGAACGGAGTAAAGAACGGAAATGGGCGCTGAAAATTGCATACACGCGATAGATAGCCGTGGATGCTTGGAGTGGAGGATGACCCTCGAATTGATGCTTGTTGCGTGCAGTCCAGATAACATGAATCGCGCTACTTTTGAGGATCATCCAGAGAATTGATAGTTCGTGGCCATGAAGATGAGCCCGCGCGGGCTAAGTCGGCACAGTCGGGAGCCACACGTGGTCCCAGGAAATAGTGTTGATGAGTGCACTCCAGTCGTTGGTGACCCCTTACCACAAGGGGGTAGCGTGATGGCAGTCGAAAAACAAGTGGCGTTCAGTCTCAACTGACGCACACCAAGGATATCCGCAATTCAACGCGTCGGAAGATAAACGTTGTAAAAACAGAAGCGCGAACGTGTTGGAAGGAGTTTCCAAGTGAGGCGAAATTGAAGGTCAGCGTACACCGGAAGGACAACGCGTCTGAGATCTTTGAGTGAGTGAATGGCGCGAACCAGTGTATCGTGAACCGCGCCTGCGCGATGGTGCTCAATGGGGTGGTCCCTCATTGCCACTGTCGCGATGCCCAGCATTCGGCGTAAATCACGCTTCGTCAAGCAGGGAAATCTGTTAATCGAACCGGTATGCACAAGTCCAACCGGCGCAACCATATCCGTGACGCGAGCGGGGCCGAACGGAACCTCACCAGGGCCGACGACCGCTGTGACGAGCACACTCAAATCTTGATAGAGTAGTTGGAGTTGCCGCACACGTATTCGCAGGTGCCACTCGGGAAGGATCAACAAGAAACGACTGAGAAACTCTGGGCCTGTAGGCCACGTCTTGGAAACAAAACTCCATCAGGTACCGACAACCCGTAGCTGATGAAAAAGCAAGCCGAAAATCTCTCGATCGTCCTGCCTCACGCAGTAGTGAACCCCATTTGCCTGGTTGCCACTCGAGTTGAAGTTAGGGATGGGCACTGTGCCACACATTGGCGTGCAGTAAAGCTGTTTGGAGAGAGCCGTCGTTGCCCTGCACTGTTGACCGGAGGTGAGACAGGGATGCGTAAATGTACCAGGAGCTTTGCCACCACGTCGGAATCTCCTTAAACGGTAATACTTGTAGCCGCCGCGAGAATGGGCATCCGAGGAAGTCAAATGGCGAAAGTTGTAGTTCACGTGGGAGTATAGTATCCAGAACAGCGGTACTAGTCCCTTTCCAAAGTTCGACCGGCGACATCCAATAAAGCTGCTGAAGTAAGAGCACTCGCTGAGTCGAAATCGTAGTCGTAAGCATAGGAATCTGCAGCCCACCGCTGGTAAAGGGCACATGGCAGATACTAGGCTTTGCTAGCTTGATGAACCGCCGGCCGACCTCTCCTCGTCGCGTGAGGAGGTATTGCTCGACTAACGCTTGAAGCCGCCGAATCATGGCCACTGAGAGATCGAACTGCGGCGTAAAGTGCCACAATACAGAAAGCACCATTGCGTTCAAAATCAGAAGCCGCCCCCGATACGTACGCGCTCGGGTGCCCCATCGAGACAATCGAGCGCAGACCTTAGCCTCCAGAGAGCCACAGACCGCGTCAGCATCAACCCCTGGCCCCACGGGTATACCAAGGTAGTTCACGGAGTCCGACGTCCCGACACCAAACGGTGTGTTTTGCGCTAGAATTGCGACACCATGGAAGACGACTAATTGAGACTTATCCAGGTTCAGAAGCGCTCCTGAGCCTGCGCAGTACAGCTTCGCCACCTCCACTGCTCCTGAAGAGTATTAGGGGGAGTCGAACATTGCCAAAAACGTGATCAAGTTTTGAGCTTGGCCGTGCTCACAATCTCGACAGCATTTGCTTACTTCTCTGGTCCACGATAATATGCGCGTAAGATTTTATGTATTGTACACAAAAGTTTTTATTAGCTTAAAATATGAATTTCCGTCACCACCGAATAATGGCCAAATCCTCTTGTCACATTGCTAATTTCCAGCCAACGATCTAACCAATTCGCGATCAATGCGCACACCAGGAGACAAGGACGTGCCCGCGAGCGTTCGCGTAGGCGTCGCTCTGTTCATCGCGACTAAGTCGAGAGAGGAGAGAGCACATAGGGGGGGGGCATCAAAGCTGCGGCGAAGGTGTTCAAGATCTCGCGACGGAAGGTATCTGAGATCTGGAGCCAGCGCACCGAACCCGCCGCGCTAGTGGCTCCGCGCAAGCCGCGAGCCCGCGGGCAGACTAAGCTCTCAGCCGAGGAGGTGGCTGGGCGCATCCAGGATGTCCCTATGAACGAACGGCAAACACTGCGTTGCCTATCAGAAGCTACGGGCATACCCCGCAATGCGCTACAAAAGGTACTGCAATGCGTTATAGCTGATGGAGGTGGGAGCGCATACGCTCTACCTAGGGTGCGCAAGTATCATCTTGGCCGCGGGACAACAGCAATGCCTATGGCACTGATCATTTCAAAAGAAACAGTCCTTGCTGAAATGCGTGCACTTCATCCAAAAAAAAAATAAAACCTGTTTTTAGATAACTCTCCGCATAACTTTTTCTTAAAACGCAATCTTAAACTTAGCATAAATGTGAACTGTGTCCTGATTGGGCAAAAACAAATTGCTGAATGCGAATCTCAACCGTGCAAGCAGGAACAACCTCGTTTTTATTCGAGGCTCTAGCTCTCACAAATCAACGCTTTTGCCTCTAAATCAGAGCTCATCAGAAAGCTTGTATCAAGCACAATCCGAGACAATTCTTCGATCTAATATCGCTATTGTGGTTTATATTTTACGAGAAAAAAACTAATTTCATCGCCAGATGAGCTGCTTCTGTCGATAGATTTACGGCCAAAGCCTCTCAGAAGCTGCTAATAAAAAATATCATGTGCTTCAGCTCGATCTCAGCATTTCGCTGCTACCTTGCTTGTTTGGCTACCAGTTGAATTGGCACAGCTGTGGTAGAAAGAGTGATTCGCGCATATTATCGTGGACCAGAGAAGTATCTCTGAAACAAGCCACCTCCGGAGGTGGCTTGTTTCAGAACTGAGCAGCTCATTTCAGAGATAAGTAATTCCCTTCTTTGTCCCCTCCTCTGCAAATACCTCCGATTCTTTCTTTTATGCAATATCCTGTGATATACGCTCTATCTTTTCAATGCTGTTAGAAAGGGCTACACGAAATTAGCTTGGTCTCAGTATGTACTTCGGGATACCATGTATCTTGCATATTCAGTATCCAGTACGAAGTTACACGCGATCATCTGTTGAAGAAACTGGTCGGGATTTGTAGTGGGACAGATGGCGGAAAAGCTCCCTCCACTCGACTAAGTGCGAAAAAGGAAGGATCAACAAGTAATTCCCCCCTCCAAAAATGGCGCATCTTTTCGACACTTTTCTGCTTAGTTTTCTGGCTTGGTTTTGGTCAATTGTTTTGGCGTTTTTGAGATGTTCGACTCCCCCTATTTGATCTGCGATAGCAGCATTAACGTTGCTTCCTATCCCAGTATAATTTACCGCTCAGTACGAACACTAATTAATGCACGGCAAACTGGATGCAAAACACAATATATCTTCGATCAAAAACTTGCAGCTAAGAGCTCCATCTCAGTTCCACCTCAAACTCCCCCAAATCAACTGCGTCCTTATCTTTGATGCAAATCGTTTTTTTCGTTACCCGCAATGCAGTGTCCAGGAACTTTACGGTGTGGCTCTCGAGAGCAATGACTGTAATTATAAGGATAGGGAATATGGCATCTCAGCAGACAATACATACAGCACTCCCTACGTTAGACCGGCAACAACACACTTCACGTTGGCAATAAAGTTTATGTTCTACGGAGAGTAGGGGGTACGAAATTTGGTGGGGTACTATATTTTTGTGGGGAGGGGGTACTATTCGAGGGTGGGGCACAATTAGATGTTTTACAGTAGATTTGAGATTTGATCCGTCCAAAACGCTTCTTCCAGATCTGTCCTGGCTCTGTTCTCAATCAACCAAATTGCAGCATTTCCCTCATTCGCCAAAAGTCGCAATGGAGCTGGAGCCACCGGGCAGCCCCGATGGAGGCTCTGAATACGACGATTCTCATGTGTTTGACTACCGCGCAGACTCAGACGAGGACGAGTGTGGTCTGGCAGACGCGTTCATGCAGTTCGAGGCGCAGGTGAGCGCTGCTTCCGTCAAAATTCACTTTCCAAACTCGGCAGCATTCCGACCCAAGTGTATTTTTCATGATTTCGATCGTTTCCAGGCGGAGAAGCGCACGTTGGAGCTCTTGGCTGCTACAGATGAACAAGTTAATACCGTGTGGTGACTGTTGTTGTCTGTAGTATTGCTGTTAATTGATGAGGATTTCGTGCTTTATGCTCAGCTCTTCCAAGTGTCTCTAAGCGGTGAACCGCCGTCAGCTGCCGAGCAAGAAGGAGCTGACGCAGAGGAAGGGAGCTTCCCGGCTTACGTGTACATGAGCGACCAGTTCCGGTTGAAGAAGCCCCCGGAGTTTGGTCACTGGCAGCAGAACTTCCAGTTCTTGCAGGTCACGGGGTGCAGAGTGTTTGAGGGGGAGTCGATGGAGCACATTCAGATGGTACCGACGGAGGTGAAGGCTGTGAGCGGTGGCGTTAGCGTTGATAAGTGCGAGCTGCGGGTGGAGGGGCGCCCGTGTTTGCAGGAGCCGACGCCGGAGTGTCGCGATGCGTATGAGGAGATAATACTGTGGTCGGTGAGGCTGTGTGCAGAATGTGTGTAGGGATTGCAGTTGATTAATTCATGATGTTGATGTTTGTAGCGATGGTCTGATGGAGGAGACGCTGGAGCATGACGAGGGTACAGACGATGAGATGAGTAGAGATGCGGGTACCGGTACTGGTAAATTTACTCCACTGCATGCTCACGTGGAGGAGGTGCTGGACGAGCTTACGCTGGAGTGCTTCTCTTCCACAGTGGCTCCAATGGTGAGCATTGTTGGTGGGTCTTTGATTTATGACGCTACTATATCCTCACTCACTGTGCTGCTTGTCGTGCTGTCAGTTGATCTCTTTTTACAAGATTATGCTGGAAAAGCAACAACAGACTGTCCGAACTGCTCGTGAAGAGAGAGAAGCAGCGGCAAATCGGACGATCGAGGAGCAGATAGCGTTCGAAAGAGCTCAGCAGCTCAAGTTGGAGCAAGAAGCTCTGGAAGAGGCGGCTCGTGTTGAGGCATTGGAGCTGCAACGACAAGAGGATGAAAGAAAGGAGGTGGAGTGGCGTGAGCAGCTTCTGAAGCAGCAGTTGGAGGAAAACGACGAAGAGGAGGTCAAGATCAAGACACTGGCGTACTCGCACACGCGCGAATGGTATCAGCCCAACAAGAAATGCTTCTCACATCGAGGGCGACAGTTGTGAGTTACAACCACGTAAAGCTCCACGTGCTTAATTTCATTTTGCTATCTTATGTTCGCTGATGAGCTAATATTTCAAATGCAGGACGTATCTAAAGCCCGTTCTCCAAGCCAAGGTGCATGATAATTTCTGTATTTCTACCTCGTTATGGCTGCAATACCCACTCAACTTGCATGTGATCGCTTCTATTGCAACAGGAATCCGAAGATTTTTTGACGCCGGCGGCCGATGCTAGAGAGCGTTCTCCACCGCCCAATACTGACCATCGCCGCACAAGGCAGAGCAACATCTTGAAGAAGTCGCGATCGGCAATACGGAAGCCGCAGCCTGAGTGGGTTACAGGTGGCGCGTTGACAAACGACAAGCTGTGCGATATTTCGTGGATGAAGAAGATCGCGAGACCTCCGGTCAGTCCGCCTCCATATCCTACACGCGCAAGTCGTTCACGTCGACATCGCAAGCATGAAAACCAAAAGGACGAAGCCTCTTCATCGGGTGGTGTTCAACTGCCTGTAATTCCAAGACCTGGAGTACCTTCAGCGATGTCCAAACCAACAGCCCCGGTTCGAAAAGTTTAGGGCATTTCAAGTTATGCTCAACAGAGCTTTCCGTTTTCAAGTTGTTTTTGTTGCTATGTGCTAATCTGTAAAATGCTGATGTGCCCCAACAAGCGGAGCAGCAAATATCCAAACACGCACCTATTGCCTCCTAATGAAATGACCGTCAAACAGGTTAGTGTGCAGCTACAGTATGCAGTCGAGACTCAATCTACGCCTTCTGCATGGTGGCCTCGATCTCCTCGACAGTCCGAGGCACTTGGCTCATGCACTCGACGCCCGTAGCGGTCACGACCACATCCGACTCGATTCGGACGCCGCCGGTACCGCGGAAGCGAGACAGCATCTCCTGGTTGACGAATTTGGCAGTCACCGGGTTGGCCAGCACGGCCTGGATCTGGGCCTCGATGAAGTAGCAGCCCGGCTCCACCGTTAGCACCATGTTCTTCTCGAGGTTGCGCACACAGCGCAGCTTGGCCAGGATCTTCTTGGTCGAGCGCGTGTAGCCCACGGGGATGCCGCCGACGTCGTGAGTGTCCAGGCCCATCAAGTGGCCCAGGCCGTGCGGGTAGAAGTACGCCGAGATCTCGTGGTCCATGAGCTCGTCGACCGTGCCGTTCTGGAAGAGGCCGTACTCCAGGAGGTGCTGGGTCAGCACGCGGTGCGACAGCAAGTGCATGTCAACGTAGCTAACGCCAGGCTTGATAGCGGCCATCACGGCGTCGTGCGCCTTCAGCACGCCTTCGTACACCATGCGCTGGTCCGCCGAGAAGACGCCATTCACGGGCCACGTGCACGTGATGTCCGAGGTGTATCCGTGCAGCTCACCGCCCATGTCATTGAGGAACAGGTCGCCGTCCTCAAGAAGCTTGTCGTTAGGTGCACCGGCGTGGCCATAGTGAAGGGCTGAGGCATTGTGGCCGCTGCCACAGATGCACGTGTACGCGTGGAAGCGCGCGCCGCCGTTGCTGTACACGTAGTGCAGGAAGTCGCTCTCGGCGTGGAACTCCATCTTGCCCGGCCGGATGCTCTTCATCACGTTCACGTGCGCGCGCGACGACAGCTTGTTGACGAAGCGCAGCAGCTCGAGCTCCTTCTCCGTCTTGATGACGCGGCTCTCGACCAGCACCGGGTGCAGCGTCTGCCGGTCCACCTCGAACTTGTCGATGCCCTCGAACGTAGACGTGGTGGTGGTCTCCAGGCCACTGTCCGAGTTCTTGCCGTGCAGAACGAAGAGCTTCTTGGCCTTGAGCTTGTCGGCCAGCACGGCCGCCAGCTCGTCCACGTAGTAGACCTCGTCCACCTTGTAGTGCGCCTTGAAGTAGGCCAGCGGCTTGCGGTCGCCGCACCAGAGCTCCCACTCGTCGCTCAGGCGCGGCACGAACAGCACGGCCCGGCGCGTGGCCAGGTCCAGCAGGCCGGCGCACCCGGGCTCGCGCACGCCGAAGAGGTACTGGAAGAAGCTCTCCTGGTGGAAGTTGTACTGGATGTCCGTGTCGTAGCGGTCCAGTTCCACGCCGCCGTGCAGCAGGATGGCGGCCGCGCTGCCCTTGGCCTCCGGGTGCGTCTGCAGGAAGCGCTGCACCACGTTCTGGCGGATCTGCACGTGCATCGAGAAGTCGATGGGGAACAGCTCGTAGCCCTCGGCCGGGTCCGCCAGCGCGCGGCCAGTGCGGTCAAGTGCCTGAAGCAGCGTCTTGCGGTTGCCGGCCCCGTTCAGGGCCGCGCCGTTGGAGCTCGGCCGGCGCTGGCCGCTTGCCTTGCGGTTCTTGGGGTCGTAGGCCGCCGCGCGCTTCTTCTGCAGCAGAGCGATGGAGGCCATGGCCGCCGTGGCCGTGGCCGCGGCCAGCAGGCCGCTCACGTTCTCGGAGCTCATGGCGGGGGACTCGGTGATTGAGAAAATGAAGGATATATTTTTGTAGCGGGAGCAGCTCAAAGGGAAGGGATGTGTATGTACAGATGGTGTGGCACGGCGTATTCAGCGATGGACGAGACGCCACGAGTGACAAGAACCGCTGGAACAAGCTGAGAAGGCAGATAAGAAGTATTATCCTGGGGAGATGCGAATAAGGCGCTGTGGTTGAAGCGAGCAGTGTGCGCTGAGCAGTGAGCGACTTGCCCAAGTGATCCAGGAATCGCATGAAAAGGGCAATGATCACTGGAAGGTGATCGACGCTTAGCGCTGACGGGATCCGCCTTGGGTTTGCATGAGTTGTTAGCCTTGATAAGTAGTATTTTCATGTGAGCCTCTTTCTTCTAGTGCTGCTGTAAGAGTCAATGCTTGGTCAAGGATTATCACCGGTTTTGGTGGAGAAGATCAAGTTGAAGTTGCCTTCAACACGAGGGAGGATGAAGACACCGATGAGTAAACCGAAACTACGATACGAAAGAGATCTTAGGTAGGGCAAGGCAAGGCACTTGAGGTTGTCTTCGACAGCAACACAAAGCAGTAAAATCAGTCAGAATTGTTATTCTTCACACGCACAGATACTACGTCTCTTCTTCTTCTCAACAACTCTTGCTCGTGGTCTACAGCTCGCGCTCGAAGACAGCAGCCGCGCCCATGCCCGTGCCGATGCACATGGAGATGACTCCGTAGCGCTGGTTCTTCCGCTTGAGCTGGTACAGCAGCGTGGACACCTGGCGAGCACCCGTGCAGCCCAGAGGGTGGCCCAGAGCAATGGCGCCACCCTTCGGGTTCACCTTCTCGATGGGGATGCCGAGCTTCTCGACGCAGTACGTGGCCTGGCTGGCGAAGGCCTCGTTGATCTCGTACACGTCGATCTGGTCCTTCGTCAGGCCGGCCTTCTGCAGAGCCTCCGGGATGGCGAGGGCGGGGCCGATGCCCATGACGGCAGGCGGCACACCGGCCACCGCGAAGGACACGAAGCGGCCGAGGATCGGCAGCCCCATCTGCTTGGCCACCGAGCGGCGCATGAGCAGCACGGCGGCCGCGCCGTCGCTCACCTGGCTCGAGTTGCCGGCCGTGGTGGAGCCGCCCTCCTTGAAGGCGGGCTTGAGCTTGGCCAGCTTCTGCACGGTCGTGCCGGCACGCACGCCGTCGTCCTGCGAGATGATGACCGACTTCTCGTTGCCATCCTTGTCCTTGAGGATGGTCGACACGGGCGTGATCTCCTCCTTGAACCAGCCGTTGGCCTGCGCGGCCGCGGCCTTGGCGTGCGACAGCGCGGCCAGCTCGTCCTGCTTCGTGCGCGAGATGCCGAACTGCTCGGCCACGTTCTCGCTCGTGATGCCCATGGGCACGGTGCAGTCCATGGCGTCCTGCACGGCGCCGACGCGCTCCCAGTTGACGGTGGGAGCGTCCTTGCCGATGCCAGCGAGCGACATGCACTCGACGCCGGCCGCGATACCGATGTCGTAGTAGCCAGCCTTGATGGCCGCCGTGACGTTGGCCACGGCCTGCAGGCCGGAGCTGCACTGGCGGTTGAGCACGTGCAGCGGCACCGTGTGCGGGATGCCCGCGGCCAGCTGGGCCATGCGGGCCATGCCGGCGCCCGCGCCGGGCTGCAGCACGTTGCCCACCACGACGTCGCCCACGAGCTTGGGGTCCACCTTGGCCTGCTTGAGCACGGCCTGCAGCACGTGGCCCAGCAGCACGTCGGGCGTCGTGTCCTTGAAGCCGCCGCGGCGGGCCTTGGTGATGGGCGTGCGCAGCGCCGACACGATCACCACGTCCTCCTCGGGCGTCACGGGCACGGGCGAGCCGTGGGCCACGTGCGAGCGGATGCGGTCGATGCGGTTCATACTTGTGGCGGGGAGCGGGGCGGCGGCGGGGGCGGGCTTCAACGTGAGAGGAACGCGGCCAAATCCGAAGTGGCCTTGGCAAAGCGCTGCGTCAGGCGAGCTCTACTGCTGCATCAACAGTTTTGTTAGTTCAAGTCAAACCGTCAAACGGTGCTCAAAAAGCCATATAAGCATTTGGACAGGTTGGTTATATCAACCTTTACTCTCTAGATGGGTTTAAGTACGGGCGTACTTAAGAAATGAATATGCGCTACTACGGTTTTGATGACGTAAAAAGAATCTTGAAAGGCAGCATACATGCGGCCGACGTGAGTGCTCGTTGCCGCGGCGGCGGCCCAGCTCGTGCTGACGCGTCTCCTGCTCTATCGCAACCGCAAGACGCTGCTTCAGGCACTTGACCGCACTGGCCGCGCGCTGGCGGACCCGGCCGAGGGCTACGAGCTGTTCCCCATCGACTTCTCGATGCACGTGCAGATCCGCCAGAACGTGGTGCAGCGCTTCCTGCAGACGCACCCGGAGGCCAAGGGCAGCGCGGCCGCCATCCTGCTGCACGGCGGCGTGGAACTGGACCGCTACGACACGGACATCCAGTACAACTTCCACCAGGAGAGCTTCTTCCAGTACCTCTTCGGCGTGCGCGAGCCCGGGTGCGCCGGCCTGCTGGACCTGGCCACGCGCCGGGCCGTGCTGTTCGTGCCGCGCCTGAGCGACGAGTGGGAGCTCTGGTGCGGCGACCGCAAGCCGCTGGCCTACTTCAAGGCGCACTACAAGGTGGACGAGGTCTACTACGTGGACGAGCTGGCGGCCGTGCTGGCCGACAAGCTCAAGGCCAAGAAGCTCTTCGTTCTGCACGGCAAGAACTCGGACAGTGGCCTGGAGACCACCACCACGTCTACGTTCGAGGGCATCGACAAGTTCGAGGTGGACCGGCAGGCGCTGCACCCGGTGCTGGTCGAGAGCCGCGTCATCAAGACGGAGAAGGAGCTCGAGCTGCTGCGCTTCGTCAACAAGCTGTCGTCGCGCGCGCACGTGAACGTGATGAAGAGCATCCGGCCGGGCAAGATGGAGTTCCACGCCGAGAGCGACTTCCTGCACTACGTGTACAGCAACGGCGGCGCGCGCTTCCACGCGTACACGTGCATCTGTGGCAGCGGCCACAACGCCTCGGCCCAGCACTACGGCCATGCCGGAGCTCCCAATGACAAGCTGTTGGAGGACGGCGATCCGTTCCTGAACGATATGGGTGGTGAGCTCCATGGCTACGCTTCAGACATCACGTGCACAGTTCCAGTTAATGGAAAGGTTACAGATGACCAGAGGATGCTGTATGAGGTGGTGCTTAAGGCTCACGACACTGTGATGGCAGCGATCAGACCGGGGGTGAGCTGGGTAGACATGCATATCCTCGCTAACCGTGTGATGACCGAGCACATCAAGCACGGGCTGCTGCAGAATGGCACAGTGGACAAGATGATGGAGCACGAGGTGTCATCATACTTCACGCCTTGTGGCCTCGGACATCTCATGGGCCTCGACGTTCACGATGTCGGCGGATTCCCTGTGGGCCGCGTACGATCGACGAAGAGGAGTTTGCAGAAGTTGCGCTTAGTACGCAAACTGGAGAAGAATATGGTGGTGACAGTCGAACCTGGCTGGTACTTCATTGAGGCCCAGCTGCGTGTGGCGCTGGCAGACCCCACTATTTCGGCCTTCATCAATGCAGAGCTGCTGGCTCGGTTCCTGGCGTACGAATTGAATCGGACGTCATCGTGACGGCCACAGGAGTTGAAAATATGACCGAGGTCCCAAGATCAATCCAAGAGATCGAGGCCACCATGCGGAAGGCGTAGAATGGGCCTTGATTGCACGAATCTAATTGACGGTCATTTCATTAGGAGTTGACAGGTGCATGATTGGACGTTTGCTGGTTTGCTGTTGTGCTCGTGGGTGCCTCGGCAATTTACAGATAAACACACGGCGAAAAAACGTGAGAACAGAAATTGTTGTTGAGCACTACTTCACCTTGAGAAATCCTTGGCGCATCGTAGTAAAGCCAATAGTTCTACCTACACACCCAAGAGCTTTAAAAACTCGGAATCAACTGCTTTGATCACTACTGGAATGTCTGTCATTCTGCGCTATTTCTTCCGAGTCAACACCAAGCCATCAAGGCCACCGACCGAAGAAAACGAAGATAAAAAATCGCGGCGCCACTTCGAAATAAGATGGACGAGCAAAAGGCGAGTTACTCGGCCTTGCTGGCCGATCAAGTCAAGCGCATGGAGGCCAGGCATAAAGAGGAGCTACGACCCGCGGCGCAGAAGCTCGAGCTCTCGAATCAAGAGCTACAGTCCGCGCAGACAACGAAGCTCAACTTAGTAAAAGAGCTTAGAAAAGTTCGTGCAGAGGTCTTTCAAGCACGCCGACGCTTTGAGGCAGAGCAATACCAGACGAAGGTAGCCCTCCAGCAAATTAAAGTCGCACGGAGAAGAACAACGGGTCTACTTTCTCTGCTCAATGCTGGCTTTGGCGGGGCAGAGCCGGCACGGTTCTAGAGGAAGCGCAGGAAATCCAAGAGAAGGCACGATTCGAGCTCGTGGCCGACGACGCGAAGGAGAACATCAAAGAGGACACCACCGTCTTGAACGCGACCATCGCCGCACGAGTGGAGGCGCCACGCGTTCGTATCCCAGTACCGCAGCGCACACCTTCTACGACCCCGAGCCCGTCTACTTCAAAAGTGGGCTCCCCCTAAAACGAGAGCCAAAAGTCGCACAAAATGGGCTCCCTCATGGTAAGTACGAGATCAAGGAGCCCTGGTTCGGGCTCCCCATTGGCTCCCCTCCAGGGCTCCCCAAATTTAGCTTCAAATCTATGACGGCTCTTCATAGTAATATCTGATTGGCCAATTTTACCTAGACTTAAGGCGAGCAACTTCGCGTGATCGATGCGCCACGCTAGAAGATCGAGCTCAAAGATCGCCACACTAGAAGATCTCGCGCCGCTCATATGTGTACAGCCGCTCCGAGGCCACCCCAGCGTCGCCGATAGTCCTTACTTCCCCTCAAGGAGAAGCCCACTTTCCTATGTCTTTTCAGGTTAGAACCTGGAGATACTTCAATGACGGCCAATCATCAGCGAGATATTTAACACAGGTGAGGGGGAGCCCTTAACGAGGGCTCACAGTTCTGGAGGGCTCCTTTCACTTAACCTATTGAACTCAAGAGCCCAGGAGCCCGAGCTCGCGACTTTTTGGGTTCACCCAAGAGCCCAGGAGCCCGGCTCTCCCAAGGGTTCGTAGAAGGTGTGCCGCAGCGTGTGCGGAGGTGCAAGGCCAAAACCGTAAGCGTGCGGTACGTAATTCTTGCTTCTTCATTTCTCGTATGCAGGAGCAAGCGACACCAACCTTCGTTTGGATTTCGGCGCGTGATGCAGGGCGCGCCACTGCACACCGAGCGACCTCTGAAGCGTGTTCGCGCGATTTTGTGGGCGGCCTCGCCATAAGTAACCGCCGACTTCCGACTTTCGTTTGAGACCCCAAGATCCGTGACGTGGAGCAATAAGTAAGGTAGAAAAAAAAACAATCGCTCTCTTACGAGTTCTAAAGCTTTGAGCCCACTAAGCCAAAAGTGAACGAGAAATGTTTAATCACCGGAAGTTAACGCTGTCGAAAACCCCATCCTTGAAAAGCTATTAAGTGGTTAAATTAGCAACGGCGATGACATGCCCAAGCCATTAAGTTGGCAGCGGCTGGAGCCCTACCGAGTCGAGCATCCGCAGCCTCATCAGCACGCGAAATGGGATTTAGAGCACCATCTGATCCACAGCGTTGAACCGCTACTGCATCCAATACATGTTTGCTTCGGCAACGGGGTGTAGTGGTGACGGTAGATCGCGTCGGCTACAACCTCACAATCCGAAGCAATACAACCGTGCTGCCCCTTGTCGGCACAAGGCGAAACACCGTTCACAGCACCGTAGCTGCACCTGATCGCGCTCACGTATGCAGTCCTCGAACGCAGGAAGTAGGTAGGTGTCCTCTTGATCTTGCTTAGCCACGATAACGTCACTGCGACACTCGCGGCACTTTGTGCGAATAGGCTGAACAGTGCTTGCAGCAGCTCGAAGTCTTCAAGATTTTGCTCTCGTTCTCATCCTCGCGCCCCTCCATAGCCTCTCTTGCAGCTCTCTCACAAATGCCAGATCGTGCTTGCCCATGGGGTCCGGATCTTCTCTGGAGTCTCCTGACCTCGTCACTATCTCGGGTCGCGGAGGATATTCACATTGATAATCCTGGGTTTTGGGGATTTAGTTGTGATAATTATCTCTTGCTCCGTCCGTGGCTTTGGGGGGTGATAACTAACTAATATATTGGCAAAGTACTGCTTGGCTCGGGTGATGTTGCCCTCGTCGTTGCCGACCGTTGTTGTGGGCGCCAACTGCATCGGCGAAATTGTACTCGGTTGCGGACAAACCCCACGGGAGTCGTCGTCATGACCAATGGCAAATGCACTTGGATTGTGGCACGACTCGTCCCGGAGCAGCCCTGGCTGAGGGATGACGGTTGTCTGGATGTAGCGTTGGCCGTCTGCTGCTGCGTGGCCACTGCAGTGGGCCGCCGTTTCCTGGGCCTGCGCACCACCGTGGCCAGCGCGGCGAGCACGTCGTCGCCGGCCATGCCGAGCACCGTTGGCTCTCCACTCGCGGCCCGCGGCTCCATGGCAGAGAATTGTTGCAGTTGCCGGCAAAAACTCGAAGTGAATCATTTTCATTGCATCATCTGGCAGTTGAAGTAAACTGTACCCATGTACCACAAGTTCCGGTACGAAGTGAAAAAAGTTGATGTGGTACACACACCTCGTCTCTAAACTGTACAAAACTCCTACTAAAGCCAAGTGCGGACAAGCAGCAGCGTTGTCCTCCGGCTCTGGCAGCGGCGCGTCCTCTCTCTGCGTGGGGGTCGGGACTATTCGTCGGCGTGACGGACTGCAGGCCTCTCTCCGCGCGTCGCAATGGAGCGCGCGGCGGACGCCCCGACGCTCACGACCACGACCTTCGCCCTCGTACGTGTAGTGCTAAAGTAGACCCCCTTTTTGCCACTTTAGCACTACTCTAACGCCCATGCGTATATGTGTGTCTAACCTGATTGTGTCATCATCATGTTGCCGCTCTTGTTGCCAGTGTGAGTTGGCGTCGTTAGAGTGGCACGTGTACTCCGTCGACAAGGATAAGGACACCTCCAGCGGCAAGAAGAAGAAACATGGCAAAAAACTCCCTAGCAACAGTGGTGTTAAACAGGGAGAAGAGGCGGCACTTGCCGTTTTCTCCCAGCGACTGCAACAGCGCAACGCGCTGTGTGTCCTCCAAGACGATGACGCAAACAAGGAGGAGGACACTGCGTCCCTCTCGCAGCTCTGGGTTTTCATCGCCAACAACATGCAGAGCAGCGTGCCGGTGGAGCCTCCGTCGGGGGTTTTAGAGACTCTCAGTGGTTCCTGGTTAGAGAGTGCTAACGAGGCACTGGATAGCATTGTGCAACAACAGTTTTTCGCGGCTCTGGCCTCCGTTTTAAGCCGCAAATTGCTGGCCCAGGAGGAGTTTAACCTCTCCACGGACGGGTTTTACGAGCCCAACGACGCCAAGTTCATCTTCCGCTGCCCGTCGCTCACTCGTCTCAACCACGTGGAGGTGTATTTAGAGGAGGAGTTCCCGACGCCGGCCTTCCAGTTGCATTTCCAATTGTTCCGCCCCAGCAACTTGCTGGCCGTTGCCGTCGATGTGGTAAAAAGAGAGAGGGGGTTAAGTGAAAAGTTGCAACATGGACAAGAGCTGGGAGACCCGAGGTGTTCCTGGGAGCGGCTGGTGGGGCTGCCGTCTCTAACCGACCACTCCATGGTGGACGTGTGGCATCTCAAGGACGGACTCGTGCCAAGAATTATCGCTGAGACCAAGTATACGGACGTTGCACCGTGGTTCCGAGCAGTCTCTAAACGGAGACACAAGCGCCGGATGGACGACGGCGACAGTGGCAACGAGGATGAAGTGAAAAAGGACGAGAACGACGAGGACGCGGACGATGATGAAGAGGACAACAACCAGGAGGCGGAGGTGGAGACGGACGAACTGTTGCGACGGCCTGTTGCCGGGGGAGCGGGAGCCAAGACGAAGAGGAAACGAGACAGCGCCGACTCGACTGAAAACGACGAGTCCTTTGTGCCAGCGTCCCCGGATACGCACGTGAACACGCCAAGTGCAACAGGGCCGGTGATTCGCATGACGCTCCCGCACGACGACGAGCTGCAGCTGCGCGTGGACTCGGACGTTCGCCGCTTCAAGAGAAGGAGAGGCGGGTACAAGGTGAAGGCGGCCAAGGACGCGGCGTTCTCGTTGACGTTTGGGCCGGTGAAGGCCAACGGAACGGGGCCGAAGGCTCTAACTAGCAACGGAGTGAAGGGGGCAACGATGGACCCTGCCCAGCTCTTCTCCATGGCGAAGGCGTCGCTCTCAAGTAACTATGTGCCGACGTTTACAAGGCCGAAGAACGACGTCAAACCGCTCAGTGTGGCCGTGTCGCTTGTGGAGTCTCTCTCTCATAACGAGCAACAGGAGGCGCTGGACGGGAGACCGGTGAAGACGCACCCGCTGTTGCAGGCGCTTCAAGACTACGTGGACGACGAGGCCAAGAAGAAGATCGAGGAGAGTCTGACCTCGCACGTGTCGGCCAAGGTCAGGTTCGTGCCGAACGCCGAGGCGTTCATCCCGTCTTCACTCCGATCGAACGTGGGTCGGCTGTCAATAAACCGAGCAACGGCGGAGCAGCTGCAGCTTCGTCTGTGCTCGGAGCGCTTCAAGTATTGGCAATCTGACTACACGAAGCTGCAGTATCCGAAGAACAGCCGGCAGAAGAGGAAAGAGCAGCAGCGTCGGCTACTCCTCGACTTCGACGAAGCGGCCTTTGAAGAGTACGGGCGCCAGGAATCGTTAAAATTGTGGAGTGACCCCGACCGCTTCAAGTTGCGAGATGGCGAGATCGCTCTGGGGCTCCAAGTGGCCGTGTCGGACGCGATGGTGACGTGGCGGCAAGAGCCGAATGGAATTACGACGTGGTCCGCGCACTCGAGTCTGCAGGCTGAGGTCGCTGCTGCCAGCGCGTCGGAGAAGAGTGAGATGGTGGACCGCGTGCAGCCTTATTTACAGAGTCTGACGTCGCTCCTGAAGAAGGAGAACAAGAATGAAATTGAAGTTAGAAAGTCCGGGCGTGATCGACGGTGGATGAGCTTCGAGCAGTACACTCAAGCCCCGACCAAGTCAAGCGACGCCACGACGAAACGAATAGAGTGCGTCCGCGTGGAGCAAGAGCCCAAGTTGTGCGTCTCCACGCTGGAGTCCAGCTACCATGTCGAACCCGCTATCATTTCGGAATATTTATTGCGGGACTTTCATCCGGTGGCGGCTCCCAAGCCCGTGGACTACGTGATCGTGTGCCCCCAGTCTCCGTCGCAGTGGCTCGCGTCCCTCGCGCTCTCCTACTTCACGTGCTTCCGCAGCATGTACGCGCAGTGCCACATGGGCGATCTGGCCCCAGTCGATCTGGGTCAGGTGCAAGGGAACCACTACGCAAGTGTGGACTCGTCCAACGGTCTGCTGCTGGTTGACTGCGCTAAGAGCATGGCCGACCCGTTTGCCAACTTCCGCGCGGCCGGGAAGCTCTTGAACCCGGTGCTATCCTCCGGTGCCATCAAGAAGACGCAAGCGTTCTCCCGGTCGGCGGTCGCCAACGTGGTGTACCTGGTCGTCCCGCTGCGCCGCAGCGATGTCAAGCACAAGATGTGGGCTCTGGGCGCGTTCTCAAACGGTTTGTTCGGTACGGACTGCATGGCCGACGTCAGCAGCTGGAAGGACAGCGTGACGATTGAGATCGTGTACCTGGACGACCTGTACGAGGTGGAGGTGAACCCAAGCCCGTTCATGCTGATGCCCAACTGCTTCGGTCTGTTCGACCGCGTGTGTGAGAACGTCAACCTCAAGCCAGCCGACGCAGCTTCCAGCGGCGCCGGCCGGTCACGGTTCCTGTCTGAGCGTTTGTACCATCTCGCAGATTGGAGATCGGATGCGCTCACTACAGGCCAGGACGGCGAGACGGAGCCGCCGTACGTGTATGGCGGATATCTACTCTCCGATGACGGCAAGTGGATCGCGTGCAGTTGTACTGACGCGGTGGGGTCCGTCCTCGAGACCTACATGATCCCCGTTGCAGCGACAGAAGATGGCGCAGGTCTCGAGAGCGCGTTCATCGAGATGATGCTCAAGATGCTGCAGTTCTTCGCGCTCTTTGGCGAGAAGAGTGTGCTGGTGATCACGCGGCTTGCCGGCATGGCCGGAGCCTCCGTTCTGGGTGAGAAGGAGCAGAATGCGTGGGAACAGTTGCGGTCTCAACGGTTCGAGGAGCTCATTCCCCCGGCCTACACTCCGCTGCTATCGTGCGTGTTGCTCGTCCAGCTCAACGCTGCGTCGTACGAGGAGGTGCAACTACGCGAGACTCCGTCATCAACGGCCCTCTACGTGTCGGACAACCTCGGGTACGCAGTCGTATCGCCCCAGGAGAGCGTGGCCGCGCGCGAGAGCAGTCGGGCCGTGTACTTTACGGGCAGCGCAGCGTGGAAGTCCACGACTCTGCTGCACGGCCAGCACACGCTGACTCAGAAGCGAGAGGCCAGAGTGTTTAAGGTGTCGCTCGTGCTGGCGCTACTGGAGGAGGACACGGACTCCAAGGACGGAGAGGTGACGGAGTCGGCGCCGCCCAGCACGATGACTGCGATCCTGCGGGACTTCCACGCGCAGTCGTACCTGACCATGCACCCGATCACGATGGAGAGGCAGTCGCCACTGCCGCACCACCTGGCCGCCGTCTCGAAAATGGGCCGCGAGCTGCAGGTACTGGAGACCCAATTGACCACGGACCCGCTGCAGATGCGGTGAATAAATTGAGTGAGCAAGCGATTGGAATGCAGAGAGCTCTAATGTCTCGGCGTGTAATACAGCAGCATGATAGTGTGATGATGTCCAGGACTCTCTAACCTTGTGGGCCTAACGTTATTCTCAGGAGAATGCGATAGCGTGCGTGCGGGACGGTGCCTTTCGCAGTGCTCGTCCCATAATAGCCAAACTTTTCCGAGCTTGGTCAAACACATCATGCTCATTGCTCTCGACAGCTGAAGTTCGAGGAGAAGCAGGCAAGCCGACAGCATGACGGCGTTCGACGGGTATATTGAGGACTACGATCAAGCGCGGGTGGAGGCACTGAAGGCCATCGACGAGTATGCGCGCTGCTCCGATCCCGGTACGAAGTGCTACTACGTTTGGGGTGGGATTGGAGGTTGAGTTCTGATAGTAGAGGGTTGTATGACCTAACAGCACGGCGAGAGGAGCTAGTCGTGACGGCTAAGACCTGCGTCGATGAAGTGGAGCGATACGTGAGTTGGATGCGGTGGTGTGTGGCTATTGTGTTTTTTTTCTGGTTGACATGGTTTGTCGTGAATTCGGTCTGCAGATTCGCATTTTGGAGAACGAAGCGAAGAATGGCTCGACTCCTGCGCAGAAGAGGAAGATGATGGAGCAGGTGCGCCACTGCCGAACCAAGTGGACCAGCTTGAAGACCTCCTTGGAGAAGGAGATGCTCGTGGGCGACGCGCGAGCTGGCAAGTCGCCCGATTCCTCCAAAGATGCCAACACGGTACGCTTCAGTCAAGTATTTGCAGGTCAGCAAGAGTACTCGATGACTGACTCGACGTTTGTTCTCACGCAGAGAGATCAAATGGAGCGTTGTGCTGAGCGCGTGGACAGGTTGGTGGCACTCCTCTGTTGCATGCAAGGCCATAAAATCGTTCTAACTGATTTTGTTTCATATTAGAACTGGCCGACACCTTGATGAAGCACAGCGCACACTCGCCCACACGGAAGCAATTGGTAAGACTTACATCAATGAGAACGTTCTATCCATGCAATGAGCTGATTCTTGCTCTTGTATGAACTTGCAGCGGAGAACGTTGCGAACAACCTGATGCAGCAGCGCAACCAACTGGAGCACACTGAGCTCAACGTGCGTTCAACGTTTTTACCTGTTCTTGCGTCACGAAAGTTGAAGCTGACGTTATGATATTGGTTGTTTGACTGCAGGTCGCACAAACGCAGGATGACACGGACGAGGCTAAGAGCCACATCCGGTCGATGGCGTTCAAGGCGTGCACCAGTCGCGTCCTGCTGCTTGTGATCATGTTGGCGCTCGCCATCGCCATCGTGCTGGTCTCGTACTACAAGTGGTACCCACGCAACAAGAAGGACTACCTGGGCATCCTGCCCGACTCGAGCAACTCGACCTCCTCTTCCAGCAACGGCTAAGGCTTAGGAAGCCCCCAACAAGAACAATGCCTGCAGAAGATGGAGCAGTAAAGAGATCAGTGAGGCCAGGCCATAAGGCAGCAATGAAGTTTGGATGAAACGCACTCCTTGTTCATGTTTTGTCCGTTAGTTGGTTTGCCAGAGCAGCAAGTAGAATTACAGGTAAGTTGCTTGACTGGCGACGCTCCTCGTCGCCAAACTTATTGGACATGGCTATAGACTTTGTTCCTCCCTCGGGCCACACCGTCCGCGGCAAATTGAAAGCAGACCCACTGCTTCTCGCGGTCGATGAGCGATCAAACAGGGTTCTGGGCCAGGAATTGCTCGTCGGACAGCTACAAGGACGGCCGAGAGCTTAGACCAGACAGCCGTAGTCGGGCGAGATCTGCAGGAAGACGTCGTCAAAGAACCTCTCACTACTGTAGTCCACTTGGCTGGCCTGGGCCGTGAACTCCTCGTCCACGTCGTTGAGAGATCGTACGTCGGTGTACTTGGTCTCGGACGGGATGAAGTCAAGGTCGGCGCCGTCCAGGCCGGAAGGATAGTCTTCACTGGCATAGCGCTTCTTGTGGCCCGTGGTGGGGGAGGCTTTCATGACCAGAGCGGCGGCCTTGTCTACCGCGCTCGGGTTGGCGAAGCCGGCCAGGCCGCTATCGTACTGACTATAGAACTGGTGCTGCGCGTAGTAGGCGTCGGCGAGCTCCTTGCGGGTCATGGGCTCGTGCTTGAGCCCGTGCTCGGAGAAGGACGTGTGGGCCGGCGGCAGGTGCATGACCTGGTTCCGTCGGATACGCAGGTGGGTCGAGCCGGCCGGGATGACGTCCCCGTGCACGGTCTTGCCCGGCCCGTCCGTGCGGCTCACAGACGGGCAGTCGTAGTAAGCAAGCTCGCCTCCGAACCGCGGGCTGTCGGCTGCCAGCGAGTCGGTGCCGTCGTCAGACTCGGCCTCGTCCTCCTCCTCGTCGCTGGCCAGGAAGTGCGCCTGGTGCTGCGGCCCGAGGCGGCCCGACGGGTCCAGGCCGTAGGTCTCCGGGGCCATGAGCTTGTCGAGCTGCCGCTTGAAGGTGGCGTACTGGGCCTGCTGCTTGTCGCTGAGCGGCGCCTGCTCCTGGCAGCGGCCGAGCTCCTGCAGCGACCGCTTGAGGCTGCGCACCTTGCGGTACGGCCAGTGGCGGATGCCGATGGCCCGGCAGCGCTTCTTGAAGGCCGTGGCCCGCACGCCGAACTTCTCGGCCGCCACCTTGAGCGGCAGGTGGAAGTGCAGACTGAAGGCCTCGAAGTTGCAGGCGGGCGACATGGACAGGAAAGCGCTCTTGCGGGCCGCGTGGGCGCGCGCGGCCAGGCCGTCGCTATGGAGGCCGCTGCTGGGGCTCTGCATGTACACGTCGTCCAGACTCGGCACGAGCGTCAGATTCAGCGGCGCCAGCGACTCCGAGTGCTGCAGCATTGCGCTTAGTGTTGCGTCGGGACTTGCGCAGGACGGAGCTCGATTGGAAGTGAGACCGTGCTGGAAGATCGCAACGCTTCGCTTGAACACGCCGTTTCTTTCCGGGCTTTTATCACAGTATGGGAGGGATTCTTACTGAAGGTAGATCAGAAATTGGTCGTTGTTCCCAATAGCTCTATTTCCATATCTAATGACCTTTTAAAACGGATATTATATGATTGTAAGGAAGATTGGCTTGGAGTTTGCATTGCGGCTGAGCATGACTATCTGGGAGGTGACATAGATCATCTGTCGTCGACATTTTTCTGGAAACCGGGTTCTATCGCGAAACCGTGCCTGCCGGACGCAAGCGGTGAGCCCTGGCAACGCTCACCGCGGTTTGGTCAGCCGGGCGTCCATATCGGGTGGAGCTGGTTGCCGGCCGGTCAACGGCAACTTTTTCTTCTCCTGCTGCGCTTCGAGCACTGCAGCTACATGCAGCAACTTTAAATGCATGCTCGTGTTGGTGCTGGGCACGCACGAAGTCGAGTTGTTGTTGGATATCCTAACGTTACGCACGACCACCAACTTCAACGCTGTAGACGCGTGCCGTGATTTATGATTCTCCTGCCGCGATCTTTAAAGGCCGCAGACGTATGCGATACAAACCGGCTTCCGCTCGCAGCAACTATAACACCAAATACCAGGGCGTGTTGGTCCGAGGGTGCAAGGCGAACGATAAGAGCTCTCGACTTTGTATTCTCATCGCTCTAACGGCAACTACTCCACCACGGTATACCATTCCTCCGGTGGTCGCGCGCTGGCTCTTCCAACTTCAACGTGAGAGTCAGAACAGTCAGAACAGCGAAGTTGAAGTGACCCCCGCCCACCACCGGTTCAAGTCGTCATTGCCAGCGAGCGAGTGAGGACACTCGATAGCTGTCCGTAGCGACCCAAAAGCACTAGAGAAATGACCATTTCATTTCGTGTTCCGCCGGAGCCCCTGCACTTTCGTTACTGCCTGCCGTCGCTGAAACTCGCCACGTCCGTCAGGAGCCTGGCCACCTCTTCTGGCGAAACGGCCTCGCCCGTGAGCAGCGGGTCTCCTCGGCGCTTGCCGTTGCGCACGGGGAACGCCTTGGCCGTGAGAAGACTCAGCAATTGCTCCTTCTCCAGCAGCCTCTCGATCAGCCGCTGTCGCTCCGCAGAGTTGAGGCGAGTCTCGGCATGTCGGTGCTGCGGACTGCCCAGCAAGCTGCTGCTGCTACTGCTGCTGTGCGGCATGACGAGCGGCAGCTGCGAGACGTGCGCGATCTCGCCTCGGACGTCTTGGACGCACTCCTTGAGGATCATCTCGAGCTCCGTGTGGTTCTGCAGCTCGAGCTTGTAGGCCGTGCGCACCTGCTGCAGGTTCCGCCGCTCCACCTCCAGCAGTCGCTTCAGACGCTTGATGATCTCCTTGTACCGGTTGTCGCCGTCGGAGGCTAGTGCTAGAGTGTTGACGCCGGCAGTGTTGGGCCGCTGCTGGTGGCCGGCCAGCGCGAGACTCGTCATGGAGTCGCGGTAGTGGACTTTCGGCAGAGAACTGGTCGAGGCCGTGGCGAACAAAGTTTGAGACTGCGGGTGGTGGTGTGGCTGCTGCTGCGGCTGTGCCGCCTCCTTAAGCTGATCCAGCTGCTGACGCAATGCATCGATCTCTGTCCGCAGCGAGACGTTGTCCTTCTTCACCGTCACGAGCTGCTTGACGAGGAACTCGCGGTCGTTCTCTTGGGTGGAGAACTGCGTCTTCAGTCGCTGGTTCTCTCGAGTCAAGCTCTGGTTGAGTCGATCGAGCCGATCGGCCAGCTCTTTCGTCCACTCCACCTCGGTTTCGAGCTGTTTGCTCTTCTCAATCCACGCAGACGCTCCATCGTCAGTCTTGTTCTTCTCCGACTCAAGCTCCTCCTGCACGCTGTACAACCGCGCTCGGAATGCTCGTAGTAGATCCTTTTCCTGCTCTATTACCATGAACAAGATAGCCATCCGCGTTAGCTTTGCCAGCTCGGCTTACCTCAAGAGTCAAACAACAACCATCAGCCACGTACGTGCCTTGCAATATCTTGCTGGTTCGGTCTTGCACTTGGTCGACACTCTCCAGAATACTCCGGTGCATCGAGCGTACGCGGTCCATGGACGCATCGAGCGAATTCTCCTTGCTCTTCTTCGCGCGGGAATCTGACAGCAAAGCCTCCAGCTCACCAATGCGGACCTTGTACTGCCGCTCTCGCCTCACATAGCTCTCCTACAAAATCGGCCGGGAAATGTTAGTCAAATGGCTCGTTGATCTTCGAGATATCATCACTTGCCTGTCTTCTAGCAAGCTCCTCGTTCAACTGAGCTACAATATCCTTCTGGTCGACGGCATTCCCGTACTCGTCAAAGGAAGGAACCGCCGAGTTCTGCTCCGATACGGCACTTAATCCTAGGATCTTGTTGCGGAACTTGGCCGTGCTCTCTTCAGGAGTGCCGGGCTGCATCACGATCAGGCCAACGTCAGCGAGAGTCATCACTAACTTCAAGATCGAATGCAAACAGCGTACCTTCCGTCCTGCAGCAGGCTTCGTGGCCTTGCCTTTTGACACCATGGAGCTCACTTGACCCTCGCCCACGCCTCCACTGGCATCAGCAGGAACGCTCCTGCTTCTTCGCTTTGACTTGGTAGACGTGGACTCTGCTGTATCGGAGCGTATTTTGAGGAGCTCGAGTCACTAAAAATATTCATTCACGCCAAGGAAGACATGTACGCCAGATTCAGACAGCAAAAGTGGAAGCTGTATTCAAATGCTTCAGTGGCCTTGCACTACTAGGGCTCAAAATTCACTCAAAGCGGCACGGTCGATGGAGAGAGGCAAGTAGCTTAGTACTCCTCGCCGAACTCCTCGTCCTCGCCCTCGCCCTCGGCGGTCTCAGCCGACACCTCCTCGTAGTCCTTCTCGAGCGCGGCCAGGTCCTCGCGAGCCTCCGAGAACTCGCCCTCCTCCATGCCCTCGCCCACGAACCAGTGCACGAACGCGCGCTTCGCGTACATCAGGTCGAACTTGTGGTCGATGCGCGAGAACACCTCCGCGATCGCGCTCGTGTTCGAGATCATGGCCACGGCGCGCTGCACACGGGCCAGGTCGCCGCCCGGCACCACCGACGGCGGCTGGTAGTTGATGCCGCACTTGAAGCCCGTCGGGCACCAGTCCACGAACTGGATCGTGCGCTTCGTCTTGATCGTCGCCACGGCCGCGTTCACGTCCTTCGGCACCACGTCGCCGCGGTACATGAGGCACGTCGCCATGTACTTGCCGTGGCGCGGGTCGCACTTGGCCATCATCGACGTCGGCTCGAACGCGCTGTTGGTGATCTCGGCCACCGACAGCTGCTCGTGGTACGCCTTTTCGGCCGAGATCACGGGCGCGTACGAGCTCAGCATGAAGTGGATGCGCGGGTACGGCACCAGGTTCGTCTGGAACTCGGTGATGTCCACGTTCAGCGAGCCGTCGAAGCGCAGCGACGTCGTCAGCGACGAGATCACCTGCGCGATCAGGCGGTTCAGGTTCGTGTACGTCGGGCGCTCAATGTCCAGCGAGCGGCGGCAGATGTCGTAGATGGCCTCGTTGTCCAGCATGATGGCCACGTCCGTATGCTCCAGCAGCGCGTGCGTCGACAGCACCGAGTTGTACGGCTCCACCACGGCCGACGACACCAGCGGCGACGGGTAGATCGTGAAGCCCAGCTTGCTCTTGCGGCCGTAGTCCACCGACAGGCGCTCCAGCAGCAGCGAGCCCAGTCCGGAGCCGGTGCCGCCGCCCACGGCGTTGAACACCATGAAGCCCTGCAGGCCCGTGCACGCGTCCGCCAGCTTGCGCACGCGGTCCAGCACCAGGTCCACCACCTCCTTGCCGATCGTGTAGTGGCCGCGCGCGTAGTTGTTGGCGGCGTCCTCCTTGCCCGAGATGATCTGCTCCGGGTGGTACAGCTGACGATAAGTGCCCGTGCGCACCTCGTCACACACCGTCGGCTCCAGGTCCACGAACACGGCGCGCGGCACGTGCTTGCCCGAGCCCGTCTCGGAGAAGAAGGTCGAGAACGAGTCGTCGCCCATGGCGTCCGAGTCGTTCGGGATCTGGCCGTCCGGCTGGATGCCGTGCTCCAGGCAGTAGAGCTCCCAGCAGGAGTTGCCGACCTGGATGCCGCCCTGGCCGAGGTGGATAGACAGGATCTCGCGCATTGTTAGTTGGTTGGTTGGTTGCACTGGGGGGGAGGAGACGGGGGTTCCGGGCCAACTGGAAACGTTGTGAGGGCGCTTGCAGTCGACTTGGAGAGTGAGTGACCGAGCGACGGCAGGCGGGAAAGGGAGGCGCGCACGGGGTTTGAATGTTCGAACGCATTTTCAGCGAATGGGAGACGGCGAAGGTAAGGATTTTGGCGAATCGGGAGCCCGAATGATCCTCTAGCCCCACCCAATGGCGGCGCTCCACCTGCGCGCACCACCCGTCTCGCATCGCGTTCTGACCCTCTCTCTCTCGGCAGCTGAGCTGAGCTTTCAGCTTCAGCCTTCTTCTACGTGTGGGGGGGGGGCATCCTGCCAGCAGTGCTGGAAGCCGCGGTGGTTGTTGATGTGGGGCACGTGCTTATCTAAACGCTGCTGTCGCGATATACATCGTACGAGTGAGCCGCCGGCTCGGGGATGTTGAAGCGCTCGTTGTGCATATGGCGAGCTGCACGTTGAAGTGGCCGATCTAACTGAGCCTTCTGGTATGCATGCAGCTCGCAAATACCGGTGTACATGTATTAATAGTAGAAGCCATTGCAGCATTGCGTCACGAACAAGTGACACGCATTGAGTGCATTGAGTGCCATGCATCACTTGTTCCAAGCGTTTTAGACGTTCTGAATCAGGCGCCAGTTACATGGCTCAGTACTGTGTGAATCACTATTTGCTGCTCACTCCACTGGAGTTAAGAGTCTCTCGCCCTGAAGCGCACTGGTCCAAGCAGCCTAGCGCGAATAGAGCCATCTCCTAGTACAAAGAGGCAGAGTGCAAGACACCGAGGGCGCCTCGAGTCCAATGCCTCGCTGCTGCCAGGATGATGAAGAGCCTCCGCACAGATGCTGATGGTACGATGCGGAATGAATGCGGTCCCTGCTATCGGCGATGCGCTCCTGATATTCCTGGCCAGCGGAAACGGCAAGTGGCTCTAACGCGACCTGCAGCACTTGATTATCATTCGGAAGTTGAAGTTGCTAGTCGGCCTTTCGCTCCGGTGCAGCTCGCACCGCGCAGTCCCGAGCTCATTGTTCAATTGTCCAACTCGACAGCAAGCCTCCGCGCCCCCACTCCAGTCAGCATCGAGATTCGCTTCCGCTGGTAGCCCCAAGCTAAACATCTCACCAGTCAAGCTCATCTCAAGACAACTTCATCATGCGTGAAATTCTCTCCATCCACCTCGGCCAGGGCGGCATCCAGGTCGGCAACTCCTGCTGGGAGCTCTACTGCCTGGAGCACGGCATCCAGCCGGACGGCCAGATCCCGAACGACTCGGACGCCATGGGCGACGACTCGTTCTCAACCTTCTTCTCCGAGACGGGCTCGGGCAAGCACGTGCCGCGCGCCGTGTTCGTGGACCTGGAGCCGACGGTGTGTGACGAGGTGCGCACGGGCACTTATCGTCAGCTGTACCACCCGGAGCAGATCATCTCGGGCAAGGAGGACGCCGCCAACAACTACGCGCGCGGCCACTACACGATCGGCAAGGAGGTGGTGGACCTGGTGCTGGACCGCGTGCGCAAGCTGGCGGACGCGTGCACGGGCCTGCAGGGCTTCATGGTGTTCAACGCTGTTGGTGGTGGCACCGGCTCGGGTCTCGGTTCGTTGTTACTCGAACGGCTATCAGTCGACTACGGCCGCAAGAGCAAGCTGGGCTTCACGATCTACCCGTCACCACTGCTATCTGCTGCCATCGTCGAGCCATACAACTCAGTTCTCTCGACGCACGCGCTGTTGGAGCACACCGATGTGGCTATCATGCTTGACAATGAGGCCATCTACGATATTTGTCGGCGTTCTTTGAGCGTGGAGCGACCAACGTACACAAATCTCAACAGGTTGATCGCGCAGGTGATCTCGTCGCTGACGACGTCGCTGCGCTTCGACGGCTCGCTGAACGTGGACATCACCGAGTTCCAGACGAACCTGGTGCCGTACCCGCGCATCCACTTCATGCTGAGCTCGTACGCGCCCGTGATCTCGGCCGAAAAGGCGTACCACGAGCAGCTGTCGGTGGCCGAGATCACCAACAGCGCGTTCGAGCCGACGTCGATGATGGCCAAGTGCGACCCGCGCCACGGCAAGTACATGGCGACGTGCCTCATGTACCGCGGCGACGTGGTGCCGAAGGACGTGAACGCGGCCGTGGCGACGATCAAGACGAAGCGCACGATCCAGTTCGTGGACTGGTGCCCGACGGGCTTCAAGTGCGGCATCAACTACCAGCCGCCGTCGGTGGTGCCGGGCGGCGACCTGGCCCGTGTGCAGCGCGCCGTGGCCATGATCTCGAACACGAGCGCGATCGCGGAGGTGTTCTCGCGCATCGACCACAAGTTCGACCTGATGTACGCGAAGCGCGCGTTCGTGCACTGGTTCGTGGGCGAGGGCATGGAGGAGGGCGAGTTCTCGGAGGCTCGCGAGGACCTGGCCGCGCTCGAGAAGGACTACGAGGAGGTGTCGGCCGAGACTGCGGATGGCGAGATGAATGATGAGGAATTTGGCGAGGAGTATTGATTGATCTCTGAGGCAGTATACGTTTTGAAATCGACAGACCAAGACGGCGTGTTGCATAGTGCCTAGCAAACTCTTGTAAATGAACTCACTTTTTGACCTTTTGTTTTTTTCTATTTCACTATTAATACCAGAACTCGCTCCCAATTACATGGAGAAGAACGAGATTAAGTGTTCGTGTTTCTTGGTTGAGACCAAGAATGTGGGTTTCTGCCGGCGAAGGAGTGCAGCTCACAGCAAATCCCTTGAAGTCATCAAGGCCGTGGTTGGGCTGTAGAACGTGGGGCTCGTGGAGTTCGGGAGGGGGGGGGGGGGGGGCAAACAACTAGGAGCCAACGATTGCCGCGAGCGCCAGCGACGCCAGTTTGCTAAGTTCTTGTATTAATATACAGCAGAA